GCATAACATACACAGAAGGAACTAGAATTTCTAATGAACACTTAACCTGGCTCTTTTTAGCTAACTTTTCTTAAAATTTACTTGTAGTTCTTTGTAACAATAAAATCATGTGCTTTGGAAACTGCAAGTAGCTCGCCTAGGTAACAAAGACCTCGAAGTTAATACATAACCCAAAACTGCTTGCTTAACTTGGTATACGATAATAATCTTAGATTACTGTAAGACTCATGATGTCTTCAGCAAATGTTTTAAGAATGTCTGTGATTCACTGAAAAAGATTTGTCGTATGATCAGTCACATTTTTCCACAATGATTACCAATATTTTTTTCTGTATTTGTTTCCTGCTTAATGACAATAAAAGACTGAGGTGGATTCAGTTCTGCATGCATCCTTGGTAGCAGGGCTCTTCTGCCTGTCAGCTTGCATCCACTCTGGTCTCAGAGTGTCTCTTTCTCTCGCCTTTCCAGACATGCATCAAACTTGTGTGTCTGTCTTCTTTGTGTCTGTTTTGTTTCTATTCTATATCTTTCGCCTACCAGATCTCCCACCCTAGTGAAACTCACACTTCGTCGAGGCACCCCTTTGTCGAGGTAGGACCCCGACATAGGACCCCGACACACTGAAAGTCTTATGACTAGCAGTGGAACATTGTCAGATAGAGTGCTCAAAGGTGAGCCCCTAAGATTGGAAGTCACTCAAAATACAACTGGGGAAGAGCTGTGCCCTCAAAATAGAGTTGACCGTGGTGACATAAACGGAGCAAAGCTTTCTGGATCTTTATTTGCTGACTGAGCACAACTCAAAATGAGAAGATACTGTTGCAAACATCCATTAAAATCAGAATGTGTAATGTATGAAGTATGAATCTAGGAAAATTGGAAATCATCAAAAATGAAAGAGAATGCATAAAGATCAATATCTTAGGTATTGTTGTATGGCATTGAGTTGATCCCAACTTATAGCTAGCTACCCTGTATAGGGTTTCCTAAAGCGACTGGTGGATTTGAACTGCTGATCTTGCAGTTAGCAGTCCAGTGCTTATCCTACAGTGCCACACCAAGACTCACTGTGAGGCATTAGTGAGCTGAAATGAATTGGTATTGGCCATTTTGAATCTGACTATCATATGGTTATTATACCAGGAACCACAGATTGAAGAGGAATAGCATCACATTTATCATCAAAAACAACATTGAAGTACAGTGCTGTCTGTAATAGGATACTATCCATATAACTAAGAGGAAGACTAAGGAGCTGTGGTAGCATAGTGGTTATGAGTTGGGCTGCTAATCTCATGGTCATCAGTTCAAAACTACCAGTCGTTCCATGGGAGAGAGATGAGGCTTTCTGCTCCTGTAAAAATGTACAGCCTCGGAAAACCTATGTAGGGTTGTTATAAGTCGGAACTGATTCCACAGCATACCACACCACCATAAAGAAGACTGGAATCCTGGTGTGACACTCAGGTTAATGTACTGGAATGCAAGGTCAGTTTGAACCATAAGGCTGGCGGTTCAAGTTCACCAGCCGCTCCCCAGAAACCCTATACCGTGTCCCTATGAGTCAGAGCCAACTCAACAACATTTAACAACAACAACAACAAGGAAGACCAGTTAATACAATTATTATTCAAATTTAACCACAAAAACCAGTGTGATAAAACTGAAGTATTCTACCAACTTCTGTCTCAAATTGATCAAACATGCAATCAAGATATATTGATAATTACTGGTGATTGGAATATAAAAGTTGGAAACAAAGAAGAAGGATCAGTAGCTGGAAAATATTGCCTCGTGAAAGAATTGAAGCTAGAGACCTCCTGATAGAATTTTGCAAGCTCAATGACTTATTCATTGCAAATCCTTTTTTTCCCCCCAACAACAAGAGACTATACACATGCGTGAACCAAAAACCAGAAGACTTGTGGGATGACAACAAGAACATCATCTGTGAAGAAAGCAAAAGGCCATTAAAAAGACAGGAAAGATAGAAAAGACCAAAGTGGATGTCAGAAGAGTCTCAGAAACTTGCTCTTGATCATAGAGAAACTAGAGTGACTGAGAAATGAGGATGTAAAATAGCTGAACAGAAAATTTCAAAGGGCAGCTCAAGAAGACAAAATATTATAATGAAATGGTATATTGGTGGTGGTGGTGGTGGTTATGTGCCGTGGAGTTGGTTCCAACTCATAGCGACCCTGTACGGGGTTTCCGAGGCTGTAAATCTTCACGAGAGCAGAAAGCCTCATCTTTCTCCCGTGGAACAGCTGGTAGTTTTGAACTAGGTGACCTTGAAGTTAGCAGCCCCGTTTATAACCACTACAATACCAGAGCTCCTGACCAGGGGTTGTTGTTGTTGTTGTTAGGTGCCCTCGAGTCCGTACCAACTTATAGCGACCCTATGCACAGCAGAACAAAAACTGCCTGATGGAAAAATACCAAAGTGGCTGATAATTGGCATGGGTTTCTTTTTGTTATTACGTGACATCCAGGTGGTTCCAACTCATAGCGACCTTGTGTAGAGTTTCAGAGGCTTTAAATCTTTGTGGAGCAGAAAGCCTCATTTTTCTCCAGTGAAGAGGCAGGTGGGCTTGAACTGGCAATCACGTGGTTCGCAGTCCAGTGCTTATCGCATGAGCCAAAAAAAATGCTCTAGAATTAGATGATAGTAGCCATGGTTGTAAAATTATGTGAATATACTAAAAACCACTCAATTACAAGTACATTTTAAAAGGGGAAATGGTGTGATATGTAAATTATATCTTAATAAGTTTTAAAAGTCCACAGATGCAAAGCTTATAAAGGTGCAAGATAAATTAAGAATGAAGTACAGAGAACTGCTACAGCCTTCCCCGTTCCCCTTACCTCGGTTTACAAGTCTTTCTCTTCAGGCTGCCTCAACCCATCCCTCTCTTTCCCCCCGACCCCGCCTACTCTCACCTTCACCTATCCCAGGTGAGGATTTCTCCTCCAGTAGGCCCCGCCCCTTTGAAAAGATTCTCTGGCAAATTATTGAATGATGCTGAGAGCTTCAAGAGAAGATGGAAGGAATACAGAGTCACTGTACCAAAAGGAAATGGTTAATGATCAACCGTTTCAAGAGGTAGCATATGATCAAGAGCCAATGATACTGAAGGAGGAAGTCCAAGGTACACTGAAGGAATTGGCAGAGAACAAGGCTCCAGGAATTAATGGAATAAAAATTGAAATCTTTCAAGAAAGTGAGGTGGCACAGGAGGCACTCACTCATCTATGCCAAGAAATTTGGAAGACAGCTATCTGGCTGACTGACTGGAAGAGATACATATTTGTGGCCATTCCAAAGAGAGTTGACCCAACGGAATGTGGAAATCATCAGACAATCTCTTTGATATCCCATGTGAGTAAAGTTTTGCTAAAGGTAATACAGAAATGGCTACAATCATACATTGACAGAAAAGTTCCCGAGGTTCAAGCCGGATTCAGAAGAGGCTATGGAATGAGGGATATTATTCCTGATGTCTGATGGATCTTGGCTGAAAGCAGAAAGATGTTTACCTGTGCTTTGTTGACTATGTAAAGTCTTTCGATTGTGTGGATCATGATAAGCTATGGACAACATTGCGAAGTATGAGTATTCCTGAACACTTAGTTAATTGTGCTCATGAGGAATCTGTACCTGGGCCAAGAAGCAGTTGTTCGAACAGAACATGGGAACACTGAATGTTTTAAAATTAAGAAAAGTGTGCTACAGGGTTGTATTCTTTCACCATACTTATTCAACCTGTATGCTGAGCAAATAATCTGACAAGCTGGGTTCTATGAAGAAAAATGTGGCATCAGGATTGCAGGAAGACTCATTAACAACCTGCGAGATGCAGATGATACAACCTTGCTTGCTGAAAGTGAAGAGAACTTAAAATATTTATTGATGAAGATCAAAGAGCACAGCCTTCGTTATGGATTACATCTCAATGTAAAGAAAACAAAAATCCTCACCACTGGACCAATAAACAGCATTCTTATCAACGGAGGGAGAAAGATTGAAGTTGTCAAAGACTCCATTCTTCTTGGATCAACTATCAACACTCATGGAAGTAGCAGTCAACACTCACGGAAGCAGCAGTCAGAGATCAAACAACGTATTGCATTAGGCAAATCTGCTGCACAAGACCTTTTCAAAGTGTTGAAGGGCAAAGATGTCAGCTTGAGGACTAAGGTGCGCCTGACCCAAGCCATGGTATTTTCAATAACCTCAAATGCATGCGAAAGCTGGACAGTGAATAAGGAAGACTGTAGAAAAACGATGCCTCTGAGTTAAGGTGTTGGGGGAGAATATTGAAAGTGCCATGGGCTTCCAAAAGAACCAATAGATCTGTTTTGGAAGAAGCGCTGCCAGAATGCTCTTTGGAGGCCAAGATGGCCAAACTTGTCTCTTATACTTCGGACATATTATCAGTAGGGACCAGTCTTTGGAGAAGGATATCATGTTTAGTAAGGTGGAGGGTCAGAGAAAAAGAGGAAGAGCCCCGAGATGGATTGCTCAAGTGGCAGCATCCATGGACTAAAGCATGGCAATACTAGTGAGGTTGGCCCAGGATCACGCAGCGTTTCGTTCTGCTGTACATAAAGTCGCTATGCGTCGGTGTGGACTCAATGGCGCCTAACAACAAGCCCCGCCCCTCAGATACTACGCCCCTCTCTCGCCCCTCCCAATCTAGTTTGGAGTCTGCCACTCCCGGTGCGTTGGAGGTGCAGGGCCTCGGTCTTGGCTGAGAAAGTCTGTCTATTTTACCGCCGAACAAAATCTAGCACACACCGTCCAATTCTGTTTCTTTTAAGCCTATAGGTTATTTATACAATGTAGATATATTTCATAAGATCGAAAGTGTCAATATTCTTGCCTTCATTTGAAAAACAGAGAGCAGGAGCCGTTGGAATCACATTGGCAATATTTAAGACAGCCCATACGAGACAGGCCGGGTCCTACAGGCCTCGGTCTCCGAGCACAGCTTTTTCCTGCCGCGCATGCCCAGTGAGCCTGACTCGCCATGCCGACTGTCAGTGTGAAGCGCGACTTGCTCTTCCAAGCCCTGGGCCGCACTTACAGTGAGTGTCGGCCCCAAAAGTCTGACCTCTACATCCTCGCAGGCGCCCTCGCAGTGTTCGTGCTGCTTGGCAGCCCTTGTTGGCTCGGGGCGGTTGGGATCTGCACAGGGACGGCTGAGGACCGAGGCGGCCCCTTTGGGTTCCTGCCTCTCTGATGTCGCTTCTCTACCGGCACCGCTACGACTGCCGTTGCATCATCCGCATGTGCCCGCCAGTCGGGTCATTCATGCCGAGAACTCGCGGCGAGCGCCTTCTGCGTGCCTGGCGGGAGCTCTGTGCCCGAGGGTGGACTAGGAGCGAAACCCCGGCGCATCCTGAATGCAGCCAGTTTAGTGCAGCAACGAGTGGTTGGGAGTAGGGGGTTGACGGGAGAGGACTAACAGCAACGCATCTGTTTTTATTGTTTTCTATTAACTTTTACCGAGCGCTTGTTATGTGCCAGGCATTGTTCTAAGCAGTTGGAAATATAACAATGAGCGTGATACATGTTTTGTGGGTTTTTTTCCAATGATGGCGACAGTCATTAACCAACATATTAATGATTTTGGTTATTGTTAAATGCTATGGAAGGAAATAAAACAAGGTTTTTTTTGCTAAGAACAACATTAGATAAGGTGGTAACATTTGAACTGAGACTTGAACGACAAAGGAGTGTTTATTTGGGGGTCACAGTATGCACGCTGCACTTACACTCGTCCTCAGATTTAAAAACGGTGCTACTAGAAATAAGCTTGTGTAGATAAAATTTCCTCTTACCACATAATATAGCAGTTGAAATGACATCTGCGGCACCTCATAATTATCCACTTGTATAGAAGCTGTAGCCACTCACCTTTAAGAGCTTTTTGTTTTCGTGTCTAATGTAATTACAAAGCCCTGGCGCTGTAGATAAGCACTGAACTGTTAACCCTGAGGTCGGTGTTTCATACCCACCAGCTACTCCTTGGAAACCCTATCCAGGGTTGCTATGAGTTGAGACCAACTTGCTGGCACTTAGAACAACAATCACTTTAGTAACGGTTGTACATCTTCCCAGAATAAGATACTTCTCAAATGTTACTTCTGGCTTCTTTTAGTGTTAAGTGCTGTCCAGTCAGTTCCAACCCACATATAGGGACCCTGTACAGGAGTCCTGGTGTGGCGCTGTGGGCTAATGCGTCAGACTGCAAAGTTGTTTGAACTGCAAGGTCGGTGGTTTAAGCTCACCAGATACTCCTTGGCAACGCTATACAGGGTCGCTATAGGTTGGAAATCGACTTGATGGCACCTAACAACAGCAGCAACATAGGGTTTCCAAGGAGCTCTGGTAGCGTAGTGGTTACGAATCGGGCTGCGAACCTTAAGGTCAGCGGTTCGAAACTACCAGCCGCTCCGCGGGAGAAAGATGAGGCTTTCTACTCCCACCCTCGGAAACCCTTAACAACAACAACAACATAGGGTTTCCAAGGAGCAGCTGATGGGTTTGAACTTCCAAGCTTGTGGTTCAAACTGACCTGGCTCATATTGGCTCTAAATGACTCCACAAAGAGCTCTGGTAGCATGGTGATTATGAGTTGATTTACTAACTTCAAATAGACTGAAACTACCAGCCATTCCACTGGAGACAGATGAGGCTCTCTGCTCTTGTAAAGATCTACAACCTCGGAAACCCTATGCAGGGTCACTATGACTTAGAACCGACTCCGCTGCACACCACCACCACCAGCAAATAACTCATGGCACTTAAAAGTCACAGGGTACAGGTGCCCTACAGGGTTTCCAAGTCTTGTAGGTTTGAAACTGACTTTTAGGTTGCCAGCTGAGCAGTTAACCTGTGCCTCCAGGACTCCTTGAAATAAAGTTAGTTTTTAAAAAACCTTTCTAAAAGGTGTTCTTTCAGATACTCCCTATTCTCCACATTTTCTGACGTAGAAAATTCTCCCTGAGTTCCTGAAGTAGCACTCAGCTTGAATTTACTTTTAATTTAATTTTATATTTGTTTTAAAAATCTTTTTGGGATCAGCCTCATCTGTCTCCAGAGGAGCAGCTGGTGGGTTCAAATTACTGAGTTTGTGGTTAGCAGCCCAAGGCTTAGCCCACAGTCCCACCAGAACTCCTATTGTGTTTTTTTTTTTTGTTATGTATAATACTTACTTATGGGCAATAATGAAAGGAGCTCTCGTAGCATAGTGGTTACGAATCCGGCTGCGAACCTGAATCCGACCGCGAGCCTCAAAGTCAGCAGTTTGAAACTACTAGCTGCTCCATGGGAGAAAAATGAGGCTTTCTGCTCCCGTAAAGATTTACAGCCTCAGAAACCCTGTACAGGGTCACTATGAGTCAGAACCGACTTGACAGCACTTAACAACAACATACTGATTTATATTTCTTACCTATTCCTCTAAACCGTAGGGTCACTAAAAGTGTTCAGTATACATGAATTGTGTAGTATGATACATGGCAAATATTTGTTCAAGCCAAATATGAGTATAATAGTATCCAGATTTCCATCTCTGATGGTTTAAGAAATATAAAATGGTGAGATTTACTATTGACTGGCACTCAGTGTTTTAATATATTCCCTAGCTGCCCCTTCCCTTTTTTCACAGTTAGAGATCAGGTAAGCTTGATTTTCCTATTTGTTAGCTATTGGCTCTTTTAAAAACTTCAATCAAAACGATTGATGTTACTGGGCTGTACTTCAGATTGGTAAGAAGTGTTATCAGTAGATGTGTGCTGAGGTTACTTGTTAACTCCTAGTTAAATTGAGTCAGAGCTGGAAAAGCATGTTCATCAAGGAATCTGGTTTCCAAACGGTGTGGCTCCATCTGATTTCTCATTCTTTGTTTTTCTTTTCAGGTCACTTCTCAGTATGCTTTTCAATCCACATTCTCTCTTTTCCCCAGCACCCCCAGGGACTGCTTTTTATCTACCCTAAGCTCTATACTTTCTACCAATCACCTTCTTCACCAGCTCTTTGTTTATGAAGGATTTTTCTCTTTCAACCTATTTTCTGTTATTTGCTCCTTAACTCCTCTGGGTCAGCTTTGATTCCTCATTGTGCCTTTTTACTGCCTTGTTGTTGTTGTTGTTAAGTACCGTGGAGTCGGTTCCGACTCGTAGTGACCCTGCACAGGGTTTCCGAGGCTGTAAATCTTTACGGGAGCAGAACGCCTTTCTCCCGCGGAACCGTTGGTAGTTTCGAACTGTCGTCCATGAGGTTAGCAGCCCGATTCGTAACCACTACGCTACCAGCGCTCCTTTTTTACTGCCTTAATACTCAGATTATTTGGCGGAATCAGAGGGCAACTGTGGTATTCAGACTCCAAGGTGGTCCTCCCAAGGGTCCCCCTCTTCCTGGTATTCACGCCCTCCTACACTGCCAACCAGGATTGGTTGGTGGAACCAATAGCATGAGAGGGAAGTGCTATCACTTCTGAGCTGTTAAAGCCATGGCTCCCTTAAGCATTCTTTGACTTCCCTGGGCTCTTGAATACCTCTGTCATGTGACTATGACTGTCATGTGAGCGACCCTGTAGCAGGCTGGTGTGGGAGGAACTGAAGCCACTTGCGGGGACGGAGGAAAAAAAGGAGCAGGCCTGCCAACAACCAAGAGAGTGCTTGGAAGCAGACCTCAGCTCTCAGCCCTCGCTGTGACTTGAGATGATTACAGTTGCCATGCAAAGTATATGCCCCCTCACCAGCCTCCCAGTTCTAATCACTTCATTTAAATCAGGTCCAGGTGTGGATGAGGCAGCGAAGGTGTGCATCTTTAATACTACCACCTAAAGAACTGTTGTGCCTGGCTTGAGAAACTAAAGAGACAGTTTATTTGCCCTCTGCACAGTCGTGATGTAGGACAAACACTGGACTGCTAATCACAAAGTCAGTCGTTCAAACCCATCAGCCATTCCTTGGAAACCCTATACAGAGTTGCTGTGAGTCAGAACTGACCCGATGGCACTTAACAACAACCACATAGTTAGCAAAGGAACCTTGGTGGTAACAGTTAAGCACTTTGCTGCTAACCGGAAGGTCTGTGGTCGAACACCTGGCTCAAGAAAAGATCTGATGATCTGCTCCCATAAAGGTGGTGGCTGGGTGCTGTCAAGTCGGTTTCGACTGGCAGCGAACCTGCTGTCTAGGATTTCCAAGGTTGTAAATCTTTACGGGAGCAGAAAGCCTCACCTTTCTCTTGCAGAGCAGCTTGTTGTTGACCCTGAGATTAGCAACCACTAATGTACAAAGGATCTGGAGTCAGAAAACCAAAAGGGCAGAACACGCTCAGCATTTCTCAAGCTGTGCGAATTGAAGAAAAAATTCAAGCCTCCATTTCATTATTGAAGGATTCTCTAGGCAAATTATTGAATGTTGCAGAAAGCATCAACAGAAAATGAAGGAATAGAGTCACTGTACCAAATGAAAATGGTTAATGTTCAACCGTTTCAAGAGGTAGCATATGATCAAGAGCCAGTGATCCTGAAGGAGGAAGTCCAAGGTGCATTGAAGGAATTGGCAGAGAACAAGGCTCCAGGAATTAATGGAATAAAAATTGAAATCTTTTAAGGAAGTGAGGCGGCACAGGAGGCACTCACTCATCTCTGCCAAGAAATTTGCAAGACAACTGTCTGGCCGACTGGTTGGAAGAGATCCGTACTTGTGCCCATTCCAAGGAAAGGTGACCCAACGGAATGCGGAAATCATCAGACAATACCTTTGGTATCCCATGCGAGTAAAGTTTTACTAAAGGTAATAAAGAAACAGTTGCAAGCATACATTGACAGAGAACTTCCAGAGGTTCAAGCCAGATTCAGAAGAGGATGTGGAACGAGGGATATCATTGCTGATGTCCGATGGATCTTGGCTGAAAACAGAATATCAGAAGATGTTTACCTGTGCTTTATTGACTAAGCAAAGGCTTTCGATTGTATGGATCATGACAAGCTATGGACAACATTGCAAAGTCCGAGTATTCCTGAACACTTAATTGTGTTCATGAGGAATCTGTACCTGGACCAAGAGGCAGTTGTTCGAACAGAACATGAGAATACTGAATGTTTTAAAATTAAGAAAGGTGTGTGACAGGGTTGTATTCTTTCAACATACTTATTCTATGTGTATGCTGAGCAAATAATCCAAGAAGCTGGATTATATGAAGAAAAACGTGGCATCAGGATTGGAGAAAGACTCATTAACAACCTGTGATATGCAGATGATGCAACCTTGCTTGCTGAAAGTGAAGAGGACCTAAAATACTTACTGATGAAGATCAAAGACCGCAGCCTTTGGTATGGATTGCATCTCGATGTCAAGAAAACAAAAATCCTCACCACGACCAATAAACAACATTTTTATCAATGGAGAAAAGATTGAAGTTGTCAAGGTCTTCATTCTTCTAGGATCAACCATCAACATTCATGGAAGCAGCAGTCAAGAGATCAAATGACATATTAGGCACAAATCTGCTGCATAAGACCTTTTTAAAGTGTTGAAGAGCAAAGATGTCAGCTTGAGGACTAAGGTGCGCCTGACCCAAGCCATGGCATTTTCAATAACCTCATGTGCATGCGAAAGCTGGACAGTGTATAAGGAAGACCGTAGAAGAATTGATGCTTTTGAGTTGTGGTGTTGGAGGAGAATATTGAAAGTGCCATGGGCTGCCAAAAGCACCAACAGATCTGTGTTGGAAGAAGTGCAGCCAGAGTGCTTCTTGGAGGCCAGGATGGCCAAACTTCATCTCTCATACTTGGACATATTGTCAGTAGGGACCAGTCACTTGAGGAAGACCCCCAGTGAGATGGATTAGCCAAGTGGCAGCATCAATGGGCTTAAGCATGGCAACAATTGTGAGGTTGGCCCAGGAGTCGGCAGTGCTTTGTTCTGTTGTGCATAAGGTCGCTATGAGTTGGTAGCAACTCAATAGCACCTAACAACAGTAACAACAATCTATCAGAGCACCTGAAGTGCTCATTAACAATTATTAAATTGAATTAAGTTCAGGAATGTAAAGACCAGCATCTCACTAGAATATACTGATCATGATAAGGTTTGGGCTCAATTTTTGATAACCTGAATATGCTGTCTCCAATAGCAAAACAAAGTGAAATGTAATTTAAAACTAAGAAAAGGATTATTCGTTATTGTTCACTTATGTTTCAGATCATCCTGCCAGGACAATTATCTGCATGATCTCATTTCAGCCTTTCTAGCAGCTCCATGTTCTCAGTGACTACAAAATGCCACTTTACGGATGATGCTCAGAAAGTTACATAAGGAGGGGAGCTCTCAGAACTAATCAGTGAAAGAATCTGAATTCAAACAGATCTATTGGACTCTAAAGACAAGTGTTAGACCGCTTCAGCGAGTCTTAAATAATAGAACTTAACTGCCATTATTCTTTTGTGTTAGATCTGTAATTTGGAGCCTACATTATACGAGTATTTGATCCCTACTTAAGTTGTTTTTCTTCTAAGTAAATGGAAAATTCTCACTGTAGGTAACCTAATCCTGTATTTTATGCTAGTATGTGATGCTGTAAGATCAACACTGTACTGTGAACCACAAGGTTGGCAGTTCAAATTCACCAGCTGCTCCTCAGAAACCCAAAACAGGGTTGCTATGAGTCAGAATCAACTCCACGACACTTTACAACAACAGCAGCAGCAGCAGCATAGGTTAATTAGTTGTTTTTTTTTTTAAATCATGTACTTTTTGTTCGTAAATTGTGATTGCTTGTGTGTGATACTTAACATGTTTGGGTTTAACACAGTAATAGCAAAATACAGTTTCTATCCTATTTTCAATTATGCCAAACAGATTGAAATGAGTAATTTCTTTCTTTTTTTTCCTTTTACCTGCTAGCTGATGAAGAATTTGATGAACTTTGTTTTGAATTTGGCCTGGAACTTGATGAAATTGTAGGTATTGGTTATTTGCTTTTTTCTTAACTAATCTGTGTAAAAACGCATCTTTCAGGTGTTGATTGTTTTTTATCTGTATTGCTTTATACTGAACTAAGATGATGCCCCCGTGGGCTAGGAGATTTCTGTGTTCAGGGTACTAAGTTTCATTTCTAGGAGTTTCTGTTACTTTACTTAGTCTCAGGTGAATGCTGTGGCTATGGGAAGAGCTCTTCAGATAGCCCTAGAACAACGGTGAGCTCTTCAACTGGAATTTACCTCTTAAGCAGGGCCTTTTGCAGAGAAAGCATCCTAGTGGTGTGGTTGTTAAACTGCGTGGCTGCTAACAAAAGGTTGGCGGTTCGAACCCACCAGCTCCTCTGCTCCACGGGGGGAAGCTGTGGTAGCCTGTAGCTATAAAGATTGCGGCCTTGGAAACTATGGGGTGATTCTGCATGTGTTGGAGTTCACTCTAAGACAGTGGGGTTTTCTTTGTGTTTTTTTAAAAGGTTTTTATTGTGGATTAGTGAAAGTTTACAGGGCAGACCATCAGTTTTACATTCAACAAATCATCCACCTTGTTTCAACTACAATGATTATAATTCCCTCTATGTACTATCAGATAACAGTATTTTTCTCTATTGACTTTAGCTGTCTCTCTCTTTTTTTTAAAACACTCATATACAGTAATTTACACCACCAAAGGGCACATTCTGCAAGTCTGCCTCCTGGCAGCTATCTCTTAGTCCCTCTCTTCCCATGAATCTAGAGTCCTCAGCCACTCCCCCTCTCCATGCCCCCATCTCTGCCTCCATCTCTGGCTGCATCTCTGGCTGCTTCTCTGGATAAGGTCCCGCATTCTATTTGTGCGTTCCTCTCTTGATGGTCCTAGGGTCCTCTGTGTCTGGACTGTAAGATTAACCACTCCCGTTTTTGTTACAAAACTTCTACCTTTATAATTGTGACAGTCGCGATTAGTCATGATAACAATTACTCACTACTGAATCATAAGAATCTTGCTGTTGTTGTTGTTGTTAAGTGCCATAGAGTTGATTCCAACCCATAGCAACCCTGTATAGGGTTTCCAAGGAGCAGCAGGTGAGCTTGAACCACTGAACTTGCAGTTCAAATGACTTTGCAGTTTGACGCATTAGCCTATGACACCACACCAGGACTCCAGTAGCTTCAGTTTCTGTGACACATACGGGGATTGAACCCGTGACCTTGGAGTTATTACCACCACACTCTAACCAACTGAGCTAACCGGCCATGGTATAAGAATCTTAGCAGTTATAAATCTTTAAGGGAGCAGAAAGCTTCATCTTTCTTCTGTAGAGCAGCTGGTGAATTCCAACTGAGACCTTGCATTTAGCAGCCCAATATGTAACCCAGTATGCCACCAGAGCGCCTTAACTTCTATGGGCAGTATACTTGAATTACAAATAGTATTGATTACTGATGACATTGTACTAGCAGTAAAGATAATTTAATAGTTACTTTTTTTCACTAAGCTTTCTATCTTAACTGATTTATTCAGCGTTTTCTAATACTATCCAAGTTGTAAGGTTAAAAACGTCTTCAGGCTAACAACAAATATTTATTGTTGTAGGCTGTGTTATAGCTGAAAGCTTTGGATTGGATGTTAGGAAATTGGAGTTGTACTTCTAGCTCCAGTATTTCTTAAGTGTGTGACTGTGGGCAGTTTCTTTGCTTTTCTGAGCCTTGTGCTTCGTCGTTCTAGGTTTTCCTTTTATCTGTGAAATAAGGAGTTTAACTGACGCGATCGCTATAGATTTCTCTGCCCCAAAACATTGGCGGACTTTGGGTTTTGGTGGCACTGGCAGATCCAGTCTTTGAGTATAGCCTCTTCACGAATTGAAATACTGAAAACACACGATTTCAGGGGTGCAAATGCTTAATGCACTTGGCTGCTAACCAAAAGGCTGCGGGTTTGTGTCTACCCATAGGCACCTCAGAAGAAAGGCCTGGTGATCTCCTAAAACAGGAGCCATTGAAAACCCTATTGAACACAGTCTCTGACACACTGATGCCAGCGTGAGTCAGAATCCACTAGACAGCTGGTGTTTACTGGTCGTCTGTTTACAGATGTGTGCATTTCTCAGGTTACCTTATTATCGCCCTTCTTCAGACAGCAGCTTTCTCCTGAACTCCACTACTTGCTGTGAGGTGACTTATCATTCTTTACTACACAATAGTGACCTCTGTGACTGAGTGCAGTCCTGGCGGCACTGTGATGATACAGGCGGCTGCTAACAGAAAGGTCGCGGTTTGACCCTGTAAAGGCTGTAAAGCTTCACAGCCTTGGAAACCCCATGGGGCAATTCCGCTTGGCCCTGGGTGGTCTCTGTGAGTCCTAGAAGACTCAGTGACAGTGGGTTTGTGTTTTTGGTTTTTGGTTGTACATTTTGCTTGAACATTATTTTAATTCTGTTTCTTCCTCTCCCTCTGTCTTCATTGCCCTTCCTCCCCTCAGTTGTTTCTCCTCTCCTTTTCTTAGGGAGCCTGGTAGCTCTGTGTCATAATCACTGGTCTGTGAACCATCAGGCTGGCGGCTTGAGCCCATCAGCTTTGTGGTTCAACGAGGTTTTCTGTTCTTGCAGATGTACACCTTTTTCTCTTTGTCATTTTTTCATTTCCTTAATTTAAAAAATGCGCTTAGTTTGAGATGCCTAGAGGATAGTTTTGGACCTTGGCTCAGCCTTAGAATCATACACCGTGTGGACCTTTTGGTTCCTCCGGTGAGAGTTGGACAAATAGTACTTGTCAACCAAAAGTGAGTCCGCTGCTTACTATGCAAGTATAGATTATAATTCTTAATTTGGTACCTAATTGGAACTTCTCATATTATGGTAGTGGGCGGGCAGTATGTAAAACAGAAGTCATTGTTAGGAAGCCCTTGTTTTTTTGTGTTAAGTGGTTTTGAGTTGGTTCTGACTCCTAGCGTCCCTCTGAACAACAGGACGAAGCCCTGCCTGGTCCTGTGCCATCCTCACACTTGTTATGTGTGAGACCATTATGGCTGTGGCTGTGTCAGTCCATCTTATTGGGAGTTTTTGTCTTTTTCGCTGACCCTCCGGGGCAGGGTGATGTCCTTCTCCAGGGACCAATACCTCTTGACATGTCCACAGTGTGAGAGCAACGAAGTCTCTTCATCCAGGCTCTTAAGGAGCATTCTGGCTGAACCAACAAAGATTGTTTGTTCCTCTGAAAGTCCATGCTACTTTAGTATTCTTCACCAACACCATAGATCAATCTGCATACATTCTTTTACTGTCTTCCTGATTCATTGTCCAGCTTTCACATCCATATGAGGCAACTGAGATACTAAGGCTTGCGTCAGTGTACCTTGTCCCCAAACTGACATCTTTGCTTTTTCACACTTTAAGAGGTCTTTTGCAGCTGATTTGCCTAATATCATACATCATTTGATTTCTTGATTATTGCTTTCATGAGTATTGCTTGTGGACCTAAGCAAAATAAAGTTTTTGACAACTTCAATCTTTTCTCCATTTATCATGATGTTATTTATTGATATAGTTGTGAGGATTTTTGTTTTCTTTATATTGAGATGCAGTTCATACTGAAGTTTGTGGTCTTTGATCTTCACCAGTAATACTTTAAATCCTAGTTACTTCCAGCAAGCAAAGTTGTATCATCTGATCATCACAGGTTGTTAATGAGTCTTCCTCCAATCCTGATGCTACGTTCTTCATATAATCTGCTTTGTCGATTGTTTGCTCAGCGTACAGATTGAATATGATGAAAGCATACAATCCTGGTACACACCTTCCCTGATTTTGAATTTACATCCTCTTGTTCTGCTCAAATGACTGCTCCTAGGTCTGTGTATAGTTTCCTCAGGAGCATAATTAAGTGTTCTGGGATACCCATTCTCGACAGTTTTATCCATAACTTGTCAGAGGCAAAAGCTTTTGCATAGTCAATAACGACAAGCAAACATCTTTCTAGTGTTCTCTGCTTTCAGCCATGGTGGTGTGCCATAAAGTTGGTTCCAACTCATAAGGTTTCCAAGGCTGTAAATCTTTACAAGAACAGAAAGCCTCATCTTTCTCTTGAGGAACAGCTGGTGTACTTGAACTGCTGACCTTGTGGTTAGCAGCCTAACTCGTAATCCCCTGTGTTATCAGAGCTCCTTGCTTTCAGCCTGAGATTCCTTCAATACTGCAAGTTGAGCCTTGAGTATTTTTCTGCAGTTCTTTCTTTCTTTCAGCTTGAGAAATGTTGCGTGGGGTCTTCCCTTTGGGTTCTTTAACTCCAGGTGTGTACACATTTTATTATAACACTTGACTTTGTCTTCTCCAGCTGCACTTTGAAATGTTCAGCTTAGCTCTTTTACTTCCTTATTTCTTCCCCTTGCTGTAGCTTCTCTGTGCTCAGAAGCAAGTTTCAGAGTCTCTTCTGCCATTCACTTTTGTCTTTCCTGTCTTTTTAATCACCTTTTGCATTCTTCATAGATGATGTTCTTAATAACATCCCACAACTCTTCTGGTTTAAGGTTATTGGTGTCTAATGTATCAAATCTGTTCTTGAGATTTCTCTAATTTCAGGTGGGACATTTTCAAGGTCATGTTTTGGTGCTCATGGGCTTGTTTTAATTTTCTTCAGTTTCAACCTGAACTTGCATTTGAGCAATTGATGGTGTGTTCCACAGTCTCTCCTGGCCTGGTGTTGGCTGACGATGCTGAGCTTCTTCATCTTCGCTTCCCATAGATGTCATCATCATTGTGATTCCTGTGTATTCCATCTAATGAAGCCCAGGTGTCTAGTTGCCTGTTATGTTACTGATAAAACTTACTTGCTCTGAACAAATAAGTCATTGGTCTTTCAAAATTCCATCAGCCAGCATTGTTTCTGTCACCAAGGCAATACTTTCCAAGTACTGATCCACTCTCTTTGTTTCCAACTTTCATATTCCAGTCACCAGTAATTATCAATTGATCTTGATTGCCTGTTTGACCAATTTCACACTGAAGAAGTAGATAGAATTCATTTTAATCATTACTGGCTTTAGTGGTTGGTGCGTAAATTTCAATAGTAGTGGTATTAACTGGTCTTCTTTGTTGTTTGCAGTGGACTCAGTTACAACTTTTAATGGCCCTGTAATAGGGTTTCTTAGAGTGGATGATGGGTTTGAAATGCCGACCTTGTGGCCTTACCAGTCCACTGCTTATTGTGTGTAGATATTATTCATCACAGACAGCATTGTACTTTAAGATTGGTCTTGAATTTTTTTTATAATGAATGCAACACCATTCCTCTTCAATTTGTCATTCCTGGCATAGTAAGCTATATGACTGTCTGATTCAAAATAGCTAATACTAGTCCATTTCATCTCATTAATACCTATTTCAGACATGTTATCAGGAGGGACCAGTCCCTGGAGAAGGTCATCATATTTGGTAAAGTGGAGGGTCAGCCAACGAGTTGGATTGACACAGTGGTAGCAGCAGTGGGCTCAAACATAACAGTTGTGAGATGGTGCAGTACGAGGCAGTGGTTCCTTCCTTTGTGCAGAGGGTCATTATGAGTTGGAACTGACTTGATGTTGCCTAACAGCAACAATGTGTAGGATACTGATTTTTATGTATTCCAGTTCATTTTTTACAACTTCCAATTTTCCTAGACTCATACATTCTATGATCTGATTAGTAATGGATGTTTGCAGCTGTTTCTTCTCATTTTGAGTTGTGCTACATCAGTAAATTAAGGTCCTGAAAGCATTGCTCCATTCACGTTTTTGTGACTTCCATTCAAGGTCAGCTCTACTTTGAGGAAGCAGCTTTTCCCCAGTCATATTTTAAGTGCATTCCAATCTGACAGGCTCATATTCTGTCATTATATTAATGTTCCTTTGTTTATAAGGTTTTCAGTGTCTGATCATTCAGAAGTGATCCACCTCTCCTTCTTTCTAGTCTATCTTAGTCTGGGAAGCTCTGCTGAAACCTATCTACCATGGGTGACCCTTTTGGTATTTAAAATACCCGTGGCATAGCTTCTAGCATTCCCGCAACATGCAAGTCAGTGGGAGTTCAGGTCAAGTGGAGTTTCCACAAAATCAAGCTCTTTGCCACCGTTTTAAAAATCAAGTATTTCCTCCACTCCTGGGTTGCCTTCATTCTTTGCTGCTTTATACCTTTATCTTTACTTTCACTAGATTGATTCTAATTCTATCTAAAATCCCTCTAATTGCCATCATAATTTCTGGTGACCTTTTTGAATAGTGTTTGGGTTGTTTTGTATTATTCTCATTGCTCTCAGGTTGCTTCTAGCTTGGATGCCCACAGAACTTAGCTCTCAGAGCCATTATCATTATCCTACAAGAAGTTATATTTTGTTTGGCAAATCATCTTTACTTTGCTTCCTGGATACTGCTGTTCGTTTCCTTGTTCACACTGTGTTCTTGATGGAGTTTTCACTTTCCTTAGATCAGAGGTGGGCACACTTTTCTGGAAAAGGCCAAACCAAAATAAAACAGTTGCTCTTGAGTTGCCACTGGGCTGTGACAACCCCGTGTGCTGCTCTTTGTGGGACTGCCTTCCTAATTGCATGGTAGAAGCAGATGGCCAGGCCTGCTTCCCAAGGTGCTCTGGGTAGGTTCAAACTGTCAGTCTTTTAATAGGTGAGTCCTTAACTCTGCACTACCTGGTGTGGCACTGTAGGATAAGCACTGGACTGCTAACTATAAGGTCAGTGGTTCAAACCCACTAACCATTCTCGGAAACCCTATGTTGGGTTGCTGTGGATCGAGACTGACTCGGGTACACAACCACCACCACAATAAGAGGGACTTCTAAAAGGCCAGGCAAGAAAGAGTTTTGGTTCCATAGGCTAAGTAGTCTCTCACTCTTCATCTCAGCCAGCGTAGCGTGTAATGAGTCATACATGCATTATCCTGGCTGGGCCCACTAAAGCTCTACAATGTAGTGAATGTTTTGTTTTATGTTACCACAATAAAAATGTCAAAACAAAACAAAAGGCCTTTATTTACCCAAACCAACACCAGGCATGTGCTGTTTGGGGAAAACTGAAGAAGAAACTGAAAGCATGAACTCAGTAAAAGCAGAGTATTTTCAGTCTTATTCTAGCATGTCGTATTATCATGCCCATGTTGTTTGTGTTACAGAAAATGTAACTATTGCCTTCTGAGAGTTTAGATTAATTGTGTTTTATAAATTCGTAATTTGGGACTTGTTTTAGACTTCCGAGAAGGAACTCATCAGTAAGGAGCAAGGTAATGAAAAGGCAACTGGAGCCTCTGATGTTGTCCTTTACAAAATCGACGTCCCTGCCAACAGGTATGATCTCTTGTGTCTGGAAGGATTGGTCCGAGGACTTCAGGTCTTCAAAGAAAGGTAAAGAAACATGTTCATTAAACGCTTTGCTAACTTGGATTTCATTTCTTCCTTTTTAATCCCTGTCATTATCAGCAACCCTATTTAAGTTGTTAGAAAAAAACATCTTGTTGGACAGGTTCACAGCTTTAGATCAGAAGGAGGGATGTTTGGAGAGTCTCCAAACTGCAGCCATTCAAGTTTGCCAGAATACTCAGTCAGAGCCTTCCATTTCTGGGGCATGCTGTAAAACTGGACTTAATGGTTTTATGGCTTCTTAAACTGAAAACAGTTCTTGTGTAGATGCGTATGATTTGCCTCAGAGTCCCATTGGAATGGATAGTTCATAGGCTAGTTAAAGGTTGAGAGGAAACTTGTTGTTATTAGGTGCCATCGAGTGGGTACCTACCGACTCATAGTGACCTTATGCACAGCAGAACGAAACACTGCCCGATTCTGGGCCAACCTCATTACTGTTGCTACACTGGAACCCATCGATGCTGCCACTTGGCCAATCCATCTCATTGGGGGACTTCCTCTTTTTCTCTGACCCTCCACCTTACCAAACATGATATCCTAGTCCAGTGACTGGTCCCTCCTGTGGGAAATTACCTGTCCTGGTGTGGCGCTGTGGGTTAATGCAACAGACTTCACAGTCCTTTGAACAGGAAAGTCAACGGTTCAAGCTCACCAGCTGCTTCTTGGAAACCCTATACAGGGTTGCTATGGGTCGGAATCAACAACAATAAAATGTAAGATTGGAGTCCTGGTTTGGCGCTGTGGGCTAATGCGTAAGACTGCAAAGTCATTTGAACTGCAAGGTTGGTGGTTCAATCTCACCAGCTGCTCCTTGGAAACCCTATAACATGGTCACTATGAGTAGGAACCGATTCGACAGCACTTAATAACAACAAAACACTTACTTGAGATCCCGGTGGCTCTGTAGGATAAGTACTGGACTGCAAACAACAAAATCAGTGATTTAAACCCACCAGTTGCTCCTCGGGAGACAGATGAGGCTTTTGGCTCCCACAAAGATTTACAGCCTGGGAAGCTCTGTAAAAGATCACTGTGAGTCAGAACTAATTCAGTAGCACTTAATAGCAATAATAGCAACAAATAATTGCTTAATGGTTTTCTAGCTTCTCCTGGGAAACTTGTCATTTGAGGCAGCCTGTACCATTTTGGGACAATTCTAAATGTTAGAAAATTTGTTAGGTTTTTTTTTTTATATTCAGTCAAAATTTGATTTGTGTAACTTTAACCTGGGTGCGCTGTGGCTCTGTAGAAGTACTGCACTGCGAACCACAAGGTCACTGTTCAAGTCCACCAGCTGCTCTGTGGGAGAAAGATGCGGTTTCCTACTCCCGCAAAGATGGACAGGCTGGAAACCCAATAAAGGGTCGCTGTAATTCACAGTCAACATAATGGCACTTAACCACTTCAGCCCATTACCCTAGTTCTGTTTATTTTGTATATTTTATATATACGTAAGTAAAAGCCACCTCCTATTTAGTACTATAAATTTACTAGTCTTGATCTGAACCAATAAAAAAATTGTTTTCTAATTATAAATGAATTATAATTCATTTATCAAATATTTTGGTTAATTTATTTTAGGATAAAGGCTCCAGTATATAAACGGGTAATGCCAAAGGGAGAAATACAGAAATTAGTGATCACAGAAGAGGTAATCAAGATGAGTCCTTTTTTTTTTTTTTTTTTTTTTTAATATAAAAATTTCTTTTGTGTATATGCCTATAAAGGGGAGAAGGAAAAATGGAACAAATCTATTGTCAAATGTGCCTGCCTTTGTTCATTTGCTAAAATAGGTGTGTTTTAATATTTATTCTCTGACGCTAAAAAAATTCAGTTCTAACAAGAAATGAGAGGGAACAAGGCATCTGTTTTCAATAAATAATTTTAGAAAATAAAATCCAAATGTTTATTTATTATCATGTACTAATAACATTTAAAAAGAAAAAAATTGGTGGGGGGGTGCTTGTTTTCCTAAAAAATATTTAAATTACAAGCAAATGAAAAATTCAATTTTTTCCCTCGATTTTTAGCTAATTTTCAAAAATCTTGAAATGTACGTTTCATGAGGTCTGTGACTTTTCCTTTGCTCACCTTATTTATTATTTATTGAGTGCTGCACATAGGAGGGCACTCCCAGATTTGTTAGAAAATTTCCACTATCTTTTAATTCCATTTTCCTTGAATTTTTTGAAGGCCCGCATATATCTGTTTGAAATGAAAATTTGTGGCAATGTGAAGAGTGTAGCTAACTGTGTATCACAAGATACTGTTTTAAAGAAAAACATTATTTACCACCTCTAATGACAATATGAATTCCAGACAGCTAAAGTACGCCCTTACGCTGTAGCGGCAGTACTCCGCAACATCAAGTTCACTAAAGAGCGCTACGACAGTTTCATTGAACTTCAGGAGAAGTTACATCAGAATATCTGCAGGTTTGTGGTTGCATATCTTCCTCCTGCCCTCTCCCTCGTCCTCCTGCTTTCCCCCTCTCTCCTGCTTTCTTCTTCTTTATTCCCTTTTCCTCCCTTTTTCCTTTTTTCTTATTTATAAATTTTTTTTTCCAAAGCATTTCTAAATTAATATGTGAGAATAACAAGAGTTTAAATTTGCTTTCTCAGACAAATATTTGTCAGATATTTGCTTCTGCTTATAAATTGTATATACATAGAAAGACAGAGATGTTTTTCATACAATGTAGAGAAAAAGTATGAAGTCCTAGAAAACAAATTTTTTATTGGTTTAAATCAATACTAGTCAATTTATACTGCTAAATATGAGGTGGCTTCAAAAAGTTTACTGGCAAATGTAATTGAAATATAATGGAGTTTTTCCACAAACTTTTGGAAGCCCCCTTATGTAAATCATGGTTGTTTGACGTATGATCTGTGGTTTTATGGTGGTGGTGGTGGTGGTGGTGGTGGTGGTGATGATGTGCGTGTAGACGGTTCCAACTCATGCTGTATAGGGTTTCCGAGACGATGAATCTTTATAGAAACAGAAAGCCTCATCTTTCTCCCCCAGAACCACTGGTGGTTTTGAATGGCTGACCTTGAGGTTAGTAGCCCGACTCGTAACCACTAAATGGAAAAAAAAAAAAAAGGCTTCATTTCACTTTTTGAGTGAACCTAATCATAAATTGTCAGAGTAATTTCTAAAATAAAACTGGAGACTGTATTAACAGCTGAATTTACTTATTTTTGACATTATCGTATGTGATTTCATATAGTGCTGTCACAGGAATGAAAGCAAAAAAACCTGTTGCTGTCTCATCAGTTCCGATTCACAGGGACCCAAAGAGTGGAGTAAAAACTCCCCATAGGCTTTCTAAGGCTGGAGTTCTGGTGTGGCGCTGTAGGGTGGGTAATCACTGGACTGCTAAATACAGGGTCGGCGGTTCAGACCTATGAGCCACTCTTCAGAAACCTTACGTTGTTGTTAAGTGTCAGTGAGTCTGTTCTGATTCAGCGACCCTGTATAGGGTTTCTGAGTAGCGGCTGGTGGGTTTGAACCACTAATCTTGCAGTTCAGACCGACCTTGCTGTCCAGTACAGGGGCGTTATGAGTTGGAACTGTCTCATTAGCATAACACTTAACAACCACCATCTTTAAGGAGGCATACGGCTTTCTCCCACAGACCTTTGTATAGTCCTGAAATTAGTGATTGGTAATTACATCTCAGGGGACTTCAAAAAGTTCATAGAAAAATGGAATGAAATGGTAATGGAAATTTTCTCTGAAGCTTTAGAAGCCTCATATGTCTTTAATAAAAACAGAAAAAGTGGTTTTATGTTTTAATTGTTGCAGTTCGGTAAATCAGAGATAGGTGAAGTCCTTGTGTATGGGGGCGGCTGGGGTTAATGCACTGGACTGCAAGGTCGGGTGTTTAAGCTCACCAGCCACTCATTGAAAACTCTATACAGGGTTGCTGTGGGTTGGAACTGACTTAACGGCACATAACAACAACAGTGATGCACAGGGCTGACAGAATCATCAGTGCTTTCTTCTGTCTTGTAAATGCCTAAAAATAAAAAGCACACCTGTGGTTAAGCTCATTAGATTTCTTGTTTTCCTGGAACACCTGTTGCTGCTATCAAGTGGTTGAAGCAATAGTTTTTATGATTCCAAGTAACGTTTATTCCAGTTCTTTAAGAGTCTAAATTGTTAGCTTGCTAGTATGTAGTTGTTAAACAAAACAGTAACTCATATGTAATTTTAAAACAAAAAATAGGATATAAGATTTCTGATAAGCATAGATGTCTCTGATCATCTCTTGTGAACATACTTAATTTTAGGAACCTATTTTTATGTAAATCAGAAGGTATTCCTTCACTTAATTCCATTTTTTTTTTTTTGTGTGTGTGTGTGTGTGTGTGAACTGAGTGACAGTTTACATGGGAGAACATTGGCTTTACACCATCGTTTCATTGCAGTGATTACAATATCCTCTGTGCATCATCATTCAACAGTATTTGCTTCCATTCCCGCTGTTTTTTTTGGGGGGAGGGGTGGGAGGTGAAGCGGGGGAGATGTACACAAAAACACTCAGGAATATATAATTTAGATAACTAAAGGGCACATTCTGCAAGCCTGCCTCCTAGCCACCAGCACCCAGTCCCTCTCTTTCCATGAGTCCAGAGTCCTCAGCTGTTCCTCTCTCCATGTCCTCATTTCTGCCTCCATCTCTGGTGTCGATGCTTCTCTGGATAGGTTTCCGCATTCCGCTTGTGCTCGTCTACCTTGATGGTCCTAGAGTCCTCTGTTTCTGGACTGTTAGATTAACAACTCCCTCGTTTTTGTTACAAAACTTCTACCTTTACAGTTGTGACAGTCACAGTTAGTTAGAATAGCAATTTCTCACTATTGAATCATAAGAATCTTATCCCCATCTCTTTTCACCAGACCTGTCTAGACAAGATGAAAATATTCAGTGGGGACTCTACCTTTCCCCACCAGCTCTTCAATTAAACTCCCTCTTGAAAACTTGTAAGCCAGTCACTTCATGCCTTTATCACCCTCTCATTTAGCCAGTTAGCCTTTATCACCCCCTAAATTAGTCAATGCCTAAGTTGCCCATCCCTGTCTAACCTTTATACAGAAGGGAAAGGATTGATACTTGATGTGAAGACTCCTTCCCTCTCTGTTGGGATTTTGTGCTACCACCTCCATGAATATAGGTAAAGTTCATCAAACTGTAGCAATTTACCTCATTTCCTTTACCAAAAAAGTTTTTTTAATCTTCCTCTAGTTGAGTTCTGATTATCAAGCCATCGAGGCTAGGTCAAATGGGTACTATCTATAAGTTTGGGCAGATGCAAGTGAGTGCATCTCCACTCACTTCATATCAGTTGGACGCTTCACTCTCAGCTCTAGCCCTCCATGTCTTTGTCCATGGGCTCAGGTGTCCCCAGATCTCACTGTACTTCGGACCAACCAGCCCTTCCTCTTCTCTCTCTCATCTCCAAGTCAATGGGAGTCAGTGGAATGTGGTTGAACTCAGACCATTTCTTCATTGCTGTCTTTCCCCCTCTTCCATTCGCCAGTAGATCAGTGTAGTCACCAGCAAGCGTGCATGCCTGCTCATGTGTTCCATTTGAGTTTCAGTCTTAGAGGGGAGTTTGTCCTGAAGGGACTTAAGTGGTTGCCTTGATGTCTTCCTGGCCAATCATACTGCCATTTTTGTTTGGGGTTTTTCCTGCAGACTTTTCTTTGAGTATGTATCTTCTATTCTTCTAGCTGTTCCAGGCTGGTCTGCTTGTCCTTTCTAGTGGGAATGTTCCACCTCAGAAGGTTCTGGATGGGGCTCAGGATACCACCTAAGGTCCTATACACTTCAAAGACTCCACAAAGAGCGTATTACATTGGGCAAATTCTAGAACCCCTTTAAGGTATTCCAATCAGTTGTAGGCCAAAAATGGGCTTACAAGCTTTCTGTAATCATGTTTCCTGAATTTCCTTTGTATCGCAGTCAAGTGTCTATTTTACAATAGTAGGTGAAATTCTATTTTTAGTGCAATTTTATGTGGTATTTCTGGAAAGTATCAGCTTTTTCTAAGGGGAGGAGTAGGCTATACATGTTTGAACTTCTGGTGTGCCCGCATTGTCATTGGTCATAAATCCTTATTATCTAAGTTACCACATTTATTAGCAAAAAGTTGTTCATAATGGTCCTGCAGTGGTTACAAATCAGGCTGCTAACCTTAAGGTCAGCAGTGCAAAACTACCAGCTGTTCCATAGGAGAAAGATGAGGCTTTCTGCTCCCATAAAGATTTATAGCCTTGGAAACCCTGTACAGGGTCACTATGGGTCGGAACCTACTCCACGGCACATAACCACCATCACCACCAGTACCTGTAGTCTGACTTCTACTTCTTCCTCTTCTACTTGGGATATTTCTGGAAATTCCTAAAATTAACTCCTATCCTTTGCAAACAAACTGTATAACAAATGAACTTAATGGCTTTTGACTTTTCTTACTTAATAAGTTACACTTTAAATGTTACTCACAGCTTTTAAAGTTTTTTTTATTAATGATACAGGTTATGACAGAAAATTGAGGAACATAATAGAGAAGCCAAAAAATGTGTAGTTCATTCTCATTTAATGAAAACATTTTTGCTAACTTGAGGACAGTAAAAGGAAGTAGATTAAAGGAAGATAAAGGGAATGCTTACTTTGAAAGTGTCCCAGTAACAATATTTGGGAAAGCATAGAGACAAGGCATGTATTTCAGCCTCTGAAATTATGTTTTAAGTAGCTTTGTAATTTCCCATTACTCCTGATGGGTTTGAGAATTTGTTATGGTCCACTAATGGTACCATTTAGCAAGTCTGTTTTAGGAAGGTGCCTAAAAAATAATTAAAAAAAAAATTGTTTCTGTTATGGTTGGAATTTCTGATTTGGAATATTCACATGTCTCTCTCTGATTTAACATTTAGAAAAAGAGCTCTAGTTGCTATTGGAACTCATGATTTGGACACTTTGTCAGGCCCGTTTACATATACAGCGAAGCGTCCTTCAGATATCAAATTCAAGCCTTTAAATAAGACCAAGGAGTATACAGCCTGTGAGCTGATGACCATGTACAAGGTAGGTGGGTTTTTCTATTTGCATAGATGGTGGTGGTGATGATGTGTTTCTGAGTCAGTTCCGACTCATAGCCACCCTGCGTAGGGTGTAGAGAGCCTCATCTTTCTCCTGCGGAGTGACTGGTACTGAGCTTGTGGTTAGCATCCCAGCTGCAAATCCACTGTGCTACCAGGCCTCCTCACATTAGGCACTGTTGTTGTTATGAGTTGGTTCCGACCCATAACGACCCTGTATAGGTTTCCAAGGAGCGGCTGGTGAGATTGAACAACAGACCTTATAGTCCAGTGCATTAATCCACAGCGCCACACCAGAACTCCCTTATTATACAATAACTATGCATAAATAATGAAATGCCTTCAAAATGAATTTTTGAAATTAGGGAAATGTAATGAATGCTTTTTTAAAATACTGGCCTCTTGACTGAGAGGTACTGATGGATTTGATCTAGAGTGGGACCTGGACAGAATTTTGTGTTTTGTTAATTTTCCAACTCCTCAGATGACATTAATGTACAGTTTGGGTTGAAAAGCACTTGAAATAGACCATAATTATTGCGGTATAATTTAAACTCATGCAAGTGTAGGATTTAGCTGGTGGGAAATAAAATTGCAAGGTGTCTGATACCCATTATTAGCATTTTAAGAGTTCAACAGTGGAAAAGAACTATAACACCATAAAATGTACGAAGCAGTGAGTATCATTTGAAACAAGCAGCTATTATCTTTGCTGTAATTTGCAAACCATTTCTTCCTGCTTGCCCAAGTAGATCTCTGATGGTTTTATTTTGTTGGAGATGATTCCGGCATACTATGGCAGATTTGTCTTCACTTTTTCAAACAACTCAATTCTGTTCTCTTTTTCTTTCCCCAGTAGGCGATGAAATGGTACATGATATAAAGATACTAATTTATCTTAGAAGGTCTTGTACATTTAGGACTTTCTGTTGTTTGGGGCCTTTCCCCCACTTACTTTCCCCTTTTATATTAGGTAGCTCTGTAAACTAATTATAGTGATAGAGATGAAAGACAAGTATTGTTTGACTTAATTTTTCTTTTCAGACCGACAACCACCTTAAACATTATCTACATATCATTGAAAATAAACCTCTGTACCCAGTTATCTCTGACAGCAACGGTGTTGTCCTCTCAATGCCTCCAATAATCAATGGTAAGTGATTTCAAAAGGGCCATAGAATTTAAAAAAAAAAATTTTTTTAAAGGTTTTTATTGTGGATTGAGTGAAAGTTTACAGGGCAGATCAACAGTTTTACATTCAACAAATTGTACACCTTATTTCATTACAATGATTATAAGCTCTCTCATGTACCATCAGTTAACAGTATTTCTCTCTATTCACGTTAGCTTTTTTTAAAAAAAAAAAAATCCCGCTCAGGCATGTATAATAATTTACACCTCCACTGGGCACATTCTGCAAGTCTGCCTCCTGACCACCAGCTCTCAGTCCCTCTCTTCCCATGAATCTAGAGTCCTCAGCTGCTCCTCTCCGTGACCCCATCTCTGTTTGCATTTCTGGTGTCGCTACTTCTCTGGATAAGATCTCGCATTCTGCTTGTGCTCTTCTCCCTTGGTGGTCCTAGGGTCCTCTGTTTCTGGACTGTAAGATTAACCACTCCCCTGTTTTTGTTACAAAACTTCTACCTTTACAATTGTGACAGTCACAATTAGTCATGATAACAATTATTCATTGTTGAATCATACGAATCTTATCCCTATCTCCTTTAACCAGACCCATCTAGACAAGATGGATACTATTCAGTGGGGATTCTTTCTTCCTCCCCATGCTCTTAAACTAAACTCCCTCTTGAAACTAAAGCAGTCACTTTGTGCCTTTATCGCCCCCTTATTTTAGGTAGCCAGTGTCTTAAGTTGCCCATCCCTATCTACCCTGTGTACAGAGGGGATAGCATTGATACTTGATGTGAAGACTCCTTCCCTCTCTGTGGGTATTTAGAGTTACTACCCCCATGAGTATAGGTCAGGTTCATCAAATTATAGCAATTTACCTTTGTTTGCTATATCAAAAAAAAATTTTTTTTTTTTTTTTGGTAATCTTCCTCTAGTTGAGTTCTGATTATCAAGCCATCAAGGCTAGGTCAGAAGGGTACTATCTTCAAGTTTGGGTGTTCTTGTGCATCTCACCTCACTTCATATTAGCTGGATGCTCCACTCTCACCTCTAGCCCTCTGTGGCTATGTCCTTTTCCATGGGATCAAATGTACCCAGGTCTCACAACACTTGGGACCAACCAGTCCTTTCTCTTCTCTCTCTCAACTCCAGGTCAACAGGAGTCAATGGACTGTGGTTGAACTCAGCCTATGTCTTTGTTGCTGCCTTTCCTTCTCTTCCACTCACCAGTAGACCAATGTGGTAGCCAACAAGCTTACATGTTTGTTCATGTGTTCCCTTTGAGTTTCAGTCTTAGAGGGGAGTTTGTCCTGAAGGAACTTGATTGCTTGCCTTGATGGCTTCATGGCAAACAGCTTGCTTATTCTGGTAGTAACCAGTCATGCTAACATTTTTGTTTCGGGTTTTTACTGATGATCTTTCTTTGAAGATGTATCTTCTGTTGCTCTAGCTATTCCAGGCTGGTCTGCTTGTCCTTGCTAGTAGGAATGTCCCACCTCATAAGGTTCTGGATGGGACTCAGGATTCCACCTAAGCTCCTATACTCTGAAAAGGCTTTGCAAGAGGCCTGTTTCACTGTGCAAGTCCTATAACCCCTTTTAGGTATTCCAATCAATTATTGGCTGAAGACAGGCTTCCAATCAGTTCCAATCAGTTATTGGCTGAAGACAAGGTTTCTGTAATCATGTTTCCCAACATTCCTTTCTATCCCACTCAAGTGTCTATTTTATAATAGTAGGCAAGGGAAACCAATATTCATAAGACAGTCAAGCTAAAATACTTATTTCCCCTCTTCGCTATACCTAGATCCCTGTATCACAGAGCCCTGTTGTTCCCTTAGGTTGATCATGCATCACTATTTACTTCTGACCCACTTAGGCCATGCGAACCTGTCTCAGTGTTCCCCTATCTATCTTGTTCTTCCCCTTTCTTATATTGCTCTCCCCAACACTGGAACTAAATCTCTACCCCATCCACACTGTTGTGGTAGTCTTGTATTCAATTCATTCTTCCCTCCATTTAAGACAGTCTATTTTATCCTGTAATCTACCTGACCTCACCATATGGATCTCTGTTCCTCTGTTTACCTTCATTCACATTGTAATTGTTTTCATCATAGTCTGACTTCCCAGATCCTCTGTTCTTATAATTTTGTTCTGTTCTTGGCTCTTCCGTTTGTTGATTGAGTTCAAGGTGATGCTGCCACATACCTCATTCTCTGGTTGTTGTCTGTTCTTGTTGGTTCTCAGTGCACACGACTTCCATTAGGATGTTTTTCATAGCAGGGTTGGCTTTGGCAAAATCCCTTAGCTTCTGTTTATCCTGGAATGTTTTGATTACACCATCATATTTGATTGACAGCTTTGCTGGGTAGAGGATTCTTGGGTGGAAGTTTTTTTCTTTCAGGATTTTATATATGTCTCCCCATTGCGTTCTTGCCTGCATAGTTTGTTAAGAAATCTGAGCTTAATCTGATTTTCTTTCCTTTGTATGTTACACTTCTCTTTTCCTTAGCTGCTTTCAGGATTCTGTCCTTATCTTTGATTTTGGAGAGCTTGATTATTATATGTCTTGGTGATTGTCTTTTAGGGTCTGTACATCCTGGGGTTCGTTGATCTTCTTGAATGCTTACCTTTTCGCATTTCAGGATGTTAGGGAAATTTTCTTCCAACAGCTCTTCAACTGTCTCCTCTGTGGACTTGTGTGATTCTTCCTGTTCCGGAATGCCGATAATTCTTAAGTTATTCCTCTTCATATTGTCCAACATGAATATTAGGCCTTCTTCAGATTTTTTTTTATCCTTTTTTGTGCTTGCTCTTCTATCTTAGTATTGCTGAGAGATTTATCTTCTAGCTCACTAGTTCTGGCTTCTATCTCTTTGATTCTACTCCTTTGCCCTTTCAGTTTATTGTCCATTCCTGATATTCTATTATTAATCGTTAGAACCTCTTTCTATAGGTTTTGAATTGTTTTCAATGCTGTATCTATCTTATTTGATTGTTCCTGTAGTGCTTTCCTGACTTCTTCCTTATTTTTCTCAACTCCATTGTATAGTGTTTTGATACATTTTATAATCATTTTTCTGAATTCCTTCTCAGTCATTTCCAAAGCCTGCTCATCTTCCAGTGTGGAGTGTAGGTCTACTTCAGGGCCATAGTTTTTTGCTGTTTCTTCATAATTTCTGTAGAATTCTCCATAGATTTGATTGAACCAAATCAAATAACTCTTAACCTTAGCATCTCAGGTCTTTTGTAGATTTGTTGGTATTGGGTTTTTAAACTTACTCATTCAAGAAATGGAATGGTCTTATGGTCTTAACATTTCATTGATGATTTTTATGTAGTTTATAAATGTGCAAGTATTTCTAAGTTTATAGATATTCTATGCCAGTCTCTGGATTCTGTTTTATTCCTAGATGTTGTTACTTTGGTTGTTGCAGGCAATTAGACCTTGGCAAATCTCAGGGTCTTGTCTATAGTTATCTAATTGACCTTAAATATTTGAATGGAATTTTTCCATTTTAACTCTTTTCTGAAGGCTCTTTTGATTAAGTGCACGGACAGAATTATTGACATCTCAGCCATAGACGTTTGCCAGTGCTGGAGGTGAAGAGGAGGATTGGCTGATTCGTGGCAGGAAGGAGAGTCATCCAGATCTTGGGTTGTGATGGCTGCAGTTGTTCAGTGCTGAGCTTTGGAGTTATCCAGATTGAGACCCAAATCTGAGCCTGGCTGCTGTTAGCTTGTTATCATGGTCAAGCCGCTAACTCTCTCTGACCCTGGCTTCTCTGTCTGCAGCTCCTTCATAGGCAGTCTTTACCACAGTAAATAGTGAGCGAGACAGCAGGTGTGCTCGACATCACACCTGACAGAACGTGTGCACTCTCTGTATGCTTGTTATGTTGTTGTTAAATGCCGTCTAGTCCCTTCCGACTCACAGCGACCCCTGTTGTAGGGTTTCCCAGAGGAGTGACTGGTAAGCTTGAACCTCCACCCTTGTGGTTCAAACCAACCTTGCACCCCGGTGCATTAACCCACAGCTAATTTACAATGGGACTTAAAATGAGAGTTGTGTATTCCCTTACCTCTGAGATGTTACTTTATATTAAGCCCCAAATTTGAAAAAAATGTAGTTTCTGTTTTGTTGAACTTTTAGTCCTCTTACATTTCAGAGAATGATTTTTAAAGTTTGTTTTGTTTTGTTTTCTTTACAGGGAATCATTCCAAAATAACAGTGAAGACTAGAAATGTGTTTATTGAATGCACAGGAACTGACTTTACTAAGGTAAATACAAGTTTTATACTATCAGACAGGAACAATTTTATTTCTGGGCCAAGATCTAAGGCTCAACTTTAAAATACATTCATTTTACAGGCATAAGCATATTTCAGATATTTAGAAATTAGAGCGCTCTGGGTATTCTTCTGTGTTTTGGTCCTGTCCACTTCACAGAATGGACAGATCAGCACCTGCTGTGTTTTCTGTGTCAGGAGTTGAATACTGAGCATCTTGTGTCTTCACGTCCTGGAACTCCCCCTGCTTTTGGAGGGAGGCAGCTATTTGCTTATATAAGCAGAGTGGTGGAAGGAGACCGTACAAATTGCTTCTCTCAGTTTAAATGATGCGACATTCATCCCTCTGTGTACTTGGTGGGGAAATGGACGAATTGGCTATAAAGAAGTGCTATTTACCAAACTGTTACAAGATGTATGCTCATAAAGATACCTAAAATACTTAGAATACTAATTGTTTGTTGACATTTATTGGAATGGATTGCTGCGGGAGTGTTGTCCCACTGCGTGTGACTTCTTGACACATGTTAGGGAAGGCAGAGAGTGAACTGGCCAGTCAGAAAAGACAGAAAGCTTTACCTCACTGGCAGCAGAAGGTTGGAAGACAAGGTAGGGGAGAGAAATGGCATTCACATACATTTTAGAGGATTGAATACCATTGCAAGGTATTTTATTTATGAGTTTATATTACAATAAAATATGTCACATATTTGACATTATTTGTCTCTAGGAATATTCTCTGGGTAATATAGCTTTTACTATTTAAAAAATTATTTATGCAGTAACTGAGTCTAGCTAACCTTCTTCGATGCTCATGCATATAAGTGAGACAGGTGTGAGCATGTTAGTAGAAAGCTAGGATGAAAAGATCCTGGAAGTTTTCCCTGAATATTTTGAAGCTCCATCTTATATCCCATATATCCCAATAAAATGACTGTGTTTTTTTTCCCAAAGCTTATAACCAAAGCTGATACATAGTAAGGACCTTACCCAAACCCAATGCCATCGATTCGATTCTGACTAATAGTGACCCTATGTAAGGTTCCTGAGACTATAAATCTTTATAGGCACTGACAGCCTCATCTTTCTCCCATGGAGTGGCTGGTGGGTTTGAACTGCTGACCTTGTGGTTAGCAGTCCGATGCTTATCCTGCAGTGCCACCAGGGCTTGTTAAGGGTTTTATAGGCTGACTAAATAGTTTTTAAGTTGGAAAAAAAAAATACGATAATCCTATAGATGTGCACTTAATCCTCATCATAATCCAATGAGGTTAACCTAACAGATGAGGGAGCTGGGGTACAGAGAGTATAAGAAGTGACTCCCCCAGTGTCAAGGAGCCCTCGTGCCACAGCGGTTAATCACGTGACTGCTGACTGAAAGGTGGGAGGTTCTAACACACTAGCCTTTCTGTAGGAGAAAGATGTGGCAGTCTGCTTCCATGAAGATTGCCGCCTTGGAAAGCCTCTGGGCTAGTTCTCCTGTGTCCTGTACAGCGGCTGTGAGTTGGAATGGACTTGTCGGTAAAGGGTTTGGGTTTTGGATTGTCCAACAAAGTCTCATCACTAGTAAGTGGTTGAGCCCAGGGCTTAGAAAGTGTGGCTTCAGAGATGTTTCTCTCCATCGTGAAACTTGGTGAGTCCAAAGCTGAGGGTGGAGCAAAGTAATCATTCATATGAATCTTAAATTGTAACTCAGAATTACGTAAATGTGGAACATACGCAGATTAGGACGGACCCACGTTAGTTCATTTTTATTTCATTTCCTTTTCTAGAATGTATATATAAAGGTTCATTTTTAGCTGCCATCTTTAGCTTTAACGTATATTAAATATTCATTTCCATCTGAATGACGAAAAAGTATATTGATAAATACCCATACTGTTGTTTTTTTCCTTTGCAGGCAAAAATCGTCCTGGATATCATTGTCACCATGTTCAGTGAATATTGTGAGAATCCATTCACGTAAGTTCATTTAGGACCTTCACTGATGGCCTCAGGAGCCCTGGTGACGTAGTAGTTACGTGCTTCACTGCTAAGCGGAAGGGCAGCAAGGCAAACCCACCACACGCTCCATAGAATAAAGATGGAGCACTCTGCTTCCGCACCGTTTACAGCCTCGGAAACCCTGTGTGGCTGTTTTCTGCACTTTAGGGGTCTCTGAGTTGGAATTGATTCGACAGCAGTGGAAGTTTGGTTTTTATTGATGCCTGCTGATCCGAAGGCAGGGCATTAAGGACTGTGCTAAATAGGCAGATGGAACGTTTGATTCCTGTAACTAGAGCGTATGACTTAAGCATAAACTGTAGAGAATCCTATGGGATAAGCACTGAACTGTTAACCATAAGGTCAGCAGTTCAAAACCATCAGCTGCTCCTTGGAAACCCTATGCAAGGTCTCTGTGAGTTAGAATCGGCTCGAAGGCACTTAACAACAACAAAGTAGTTTTTAAAAGTTTCCATGATATTCTCTGTTTAGAAGGCCTTGGTACTGCAGGTGAGGCAGTCTGGGAAAGCTTCAGGAAGGGAACAAAGTGTAAGCTGCATTTAGTGATGTTGCATTTGAGAAGGTATAGATGGGGCACTACAAAAACATCAGCTAAACAAAGGGATGCTGTTGTTGGTCTGACTCATAGCCACCTTGTCTGTACAGGGTTTCCAAGGAGTGACTGGTGAGTTTGAACCACTGATTTTGTGGTTCAAACTGACCTTGCAGTCCAGTGCTTTTTCCCACAGCGCCACACCCGGACTCCTAGACAAAGATAGAGAAGCAGATATTAAAGCAAAGCCTGCATCCTGTAGGGAGTCCCCAGGTTACAGACAGCCAACTTCTGGACAACTTATTCTCTTTTGTTGTTGTTGTTTTGGTTAAGTTTTATTGTGCATTGAGTGATAGTTTACATAGGATTGGACAACTCATTCTTGCCCTTTTGACCCTCACGTCAAAACTTGGAACAAATTCATTACTCTCATCTTTGCTGCTGCATGCACAGTTTTTAAATCATTGAAAGTCTCCCGGCCTTTTCTTGACGTAAAGTAAGGCTAAATAAGAACCATATGCACTGGTTCCGACTTACCAACAGCTTTGGCCTGGAGACGCCCTTAGACTAACAGACATACTGAAGAATGGATCCCATTCATAGCCAAGGACTGCCTGTGTCTCAGTACAATTACTGTATGTGTTTCAGAGAATCTCTTTTTCTTTTTTAACTCTTTATTGTGATTTGGGGGAAAGTTTCCAGAGCAAATGGGTTTTCCAGTCAGCAATTCATATACATTTTGTTTCCTGGCATTGATAACAATCTCCACAACACAGCAGCACTCTTCCCAATTTCTCCCTTTGCTCCCCATTTCCTTTCATCCTTTCCTGACTTCTGAGCTTTATCCCTGGGCACATGCTACCCCTTTGATCTCACGTGATTGACTGTTCTAAGGAGTGGGTGCCTCCCTGATGTTACTGTTCACCTAGAGGGAGGTCTATTTTTGACTCAAAGTTGATGCATTGGAGTGAATTCAGTTCTGGGCTTGTAGTGTATCTAAGGGCCATAACCCTCGGGCTCAAAGTACAGCTTTTTAGATTCAGTGATTTTTATAAATCTTTGTGTCCCTTGGAGTCCTGGTGTGGTACTGTAGGGTAAGCACTGTAATGCCTCTGCGAGGTTGGCAGTTCAAACCCATTAGTCATTCCTCAGAAACCCTACAGGGTCATTATGAGTTGGAACTGACTCAGTGGCACTTAACAATGTGTGCCCCTTACTGCTTTCTGATATTGTAGTTTATTCTAGATTATTAACTATAATTAATAAATGTGTATCTGTAGTAAGCATATTGAAATTATATGGACAGTATCTTACTTTTTTTAAACTGTTATTTATTGGCTTATCAGTGTTTGTTGTGTAACAAACAAAAGTCTAGAATGTGGATATTAGTATTGGCAAGGAATCCATAAAGGGACCGACCTGGGCACCACTGGAGATGGAATAGGAGAGCAATACTATATGTGGAAAATTAATCTACAGCATTGGCAAATGTGTTGAGGCTGTAGTTGTTGATCAGATATAGTTTACATGTCTTTCACGTGATCTATATCCTAAGTATTTTATTTCTGGCTTTTTTTTTATCCCCAGGGTTGAAGCAGCTGAAGTTATTTTCCCAAATGGGAAATCTCATATCTTTCCGGTAAGTATTTAAGAAGTTGCTTAAGGATGGTGCTGATGAGAATAGCAGTGATAATGTCTGTAGTATGGATTTCCTGTCTACCTACCTGCCTGTCTACCAGATGTTTTACATGGTGATGTCCCAGCTCTCAAGTGCGTGGCAAACATGCAGATTCTCCTCCCACCTGGGAACCGATAATGATGCTTATAGACTGGCCAGTGCACACACTGTGACACTTGACGAACTCTTCCTTGGTCACATGCGCTTGCCTGCATGAGATAAAGTGGAAAATCTAGAATTTAAAACCATCTTAGAAATGATGTAATGTGCCAGTATTTTATTATAGGGAATGGTGATTGATCGTCAAAAAGAGAAAACTACATAGCCTTTTATATTAACTCCCAAACGGTGTAACTTGTCCAGCAAATAAAGTGTTCATTTCTGAATCTAATGCGGTGAATTTGTTCCTCCATAATGATGGCTGGAAACACCAGGTTTTGTTTTTCAATCTCAATGACAGTCTCTTGGGAGGGTAAGGAGAATCAACAGCAACCAGAAGAATACTCCATTAGAAAGAGTCCAAAGGTGAATGTGAAGGGGAATGATTCAAACTTTTCAAACCCTTCTTTTTCTCCTTAAGGAACTGCCTTACCGAAAGGAGATGGTGCGAGCAGATTTCATTAACAAAAAAGTTGGGATCAGGTATGCTCTGAAAACTTCTCTTATTGTTGAAAGAGTTCAGGAATGCAGTGCATACAAGAGTATTTCATGTCTCCTGAAAGAATGCTTCAGAGTAAATGAAATGATGACATGCTGTTAGGATGTGTAGCGTCTAATGGAACTCAACAAAGAAAGGCTACTGTTTCAGGGAGGAGCAGATTTTAAAGCAAAATAATACTAATGTATTTTAAGTAATCCAGTGAAGCTCATGGTTTGTACATTTTTATTTCAGAGAAACTCCTGAAAATCTTGCAAAGCTTCTGACCAGGATGTATTTAAAGTCAGAAGTCATAGGCGATGGGAATCAGATAGAGATTGAAATTCCTCCGACCAGAGCTGACATTATCCATGCCTGCGATATTATAGAAGATGCTGCGATTGCTTACGGATATAACAACATTCAGATGAGTCTCCCGAAAACATACACCATAGCTAATCAAGTAAGATTGCCCCCTTAAATAAACGCTCCTTGTTTTTAGAAACTGGTTATTGAGTGCCAGGAGCGCTTTGAGAAATGCAGAACAGAGGGAGCGAGCAGTATCTTGGCGTTCTCTGCCACGAGAGGCGTTTGCTGTTGGCGGATACAAAACAGATGCCCAGCTGATGAGAGTTCAGTGAAAACCTCTGGTGGCTAGTTCTTTGAAGAGAGGCAGATTCCAAGCTTGAGCCCTTCTGAATCTCTAATTGGGAGACTGATTGTCTTCACTTGGGTTGAAGGCAGACGTGTGTGGCAGAGGTGGGCGTGGGGGCTTGTGCCTCTGTATGGGTAGTGGTGGTCCTGGGAGGAGGTGGTAAGATGGGGGTGTAGACAGTGTGGTAGGAAGGTTGGAGACCGTGTTTTTCTCTTCAGAGACTTGTTCTGTTGAAATCTCTTTATTATAAAATAGGATATTTTTATTGAGGGAAGTAAAATGAACTTTTTTGTTGGTTTGTTTCAGTTTCCTCTTAATAAGCTCACAGAACTTCTGAGACACGACATAGCAGCAGCCGGCTTCACTGAGGCGCTGACCTTTGCTCTGGTATGTCTTCTCTGCCTTTTCTGCATAGCTGACTGCAGACTCTGAATCTCTGACTTGTGTCTGTTTTGGTTCCTTATGTGAATTTGTAAGGTCTGGACAACTGAATTTCCCAGGCTTCAGAAAATTAACTTTTGTTATTTGAGATTATGCTATATCTGGTAAGCAAATGTAAAAGGGTCCTGTTTTTAGTCACAGAAGCATATGAAAAACTAGGAAAAAGTGTCTTAATGTGACAGATGACAGCATATTTGATAGTTTCATGTATGTGCTGAGAGTCCACAATGACTTTCAGAACAATATTTATTACTGAGCTTGAACTTTTTGGTCTTAGTTTGGTTGTGGATGTGCCCACTAGATGCCGCCCTGGTTAAGGGCTTGTGGGCTGTTCCATATTAAACTTGTTTCTTTGTCTTTGAACATGTTCACAAACATTTGCTTTGAGTTGAAAAGCTGACATAAAAGGCCTAAATCAGGAAATGACTTTTATTACAAAATCAGATGGCAGCTCCCCTCCCCCACCAGATTGACCATGTGAAGGAATTAAATGTGTGTGCAATTTGTAGTTCCCGACTCTCTGAAGCAGTTCTGTGATAATTTGAGCATTCAAGTAGTTTCAGCTGAGCCATCTAGGCAAAACACACACATGCACAAAAAGCCACGAAAAAGTACTTTGTTTTCTCAGCTCCAGCCCTAAAATCCTCACCCTGTCCGAGTCTTTACAGAAGGTGGCAGTAGGACTTACTGCCAGCACATGGAAGGTTGTAAGGAGGGAAGACCCTCTGTCAGGCACTTGAGCTGTTCGAGTTCACAGAACATCGACATCGGAGGACCTTGGTGATATAGTTGCGTACCTTCATTTTCTGATTGAGCAGTATTCATCCAACAGCATCTGTTGTGTATCAAGTCCTGTACCAGTGAGGAGGCCGGAAGCCTAAACCCACTACTGTCGAGTTCAGTCTGACTGTAGCGGCCCTGAGGAGAGAGCAGAACTGCTCCCTAGGGTTCTGAGACTACATCTTCATGGGAGCTGAGGACTTCCAGCAGGATAACCGACTAGGCCAGTGTACTACACAGGTACTCTGCAGCAAAGCTACAAGAGACCGAATAAAATGGACACAGATGAAAATCCTGGAGCCCTGAGCTTCAGAGGAAAGGTTGTCAGGTTGTTGTTGTCAGGTGCCATCGAGTCGGAACCGACTCATAGCGACCCCATGCACAGCAGAACAAAACAATGTCCGATCCTGGGCCAACCTCACTACCACTGCCACACTTGAGTCCATCAATGATGCCACCTGGTCAGTACATCTCGTTAGGGGTCTTCCTCCTCTTCTCTGACCCTCCACCATACCCAGCATAAGATCCCTCTCCAGTGACTGTTTCCTCCAGACAATATGTCCAAAGTATGAGAGACGAAGCCTAGCCATCCTGGCCTCCAAGGAGCACTCTGGCTGCACTTCTTCCAAAACAGATCCATTGGTTCTTTTGGCAGTCCATGGCACCTTCAGTATTGGGGATAGAGCGCTTGCTGGGAGGAGAAGCTGAGCAGGGTTGGCTTGAGAGGGAGGCTGACCAGTGAATGACTGGCCAGATGCTGTAACCATCTTGAACTTTTGTGAGCAGCTTTGGAAACAGAAGGTGGCCTGGTAGAGGTGTGATTCTTTCTTTTTCCCCATGCTCCCCTGATGACCGGAAATGTGACCAGCTCCCACCTTCATCCAGTCCCTGCAGAGACCCTGCTTTCTGGGCATTTGGAGCCACACCAGTGTGAGATGGGGGCTGGCTGCTCCATTTGGTGCCTGGATTCAGGTGGGCTTGGCTCGAGACCTACAGAACCCACAGAGCCACCAGACCAACACTTAACCAGTCATCCTGCCCCCAGCTGCCTTATGGTCCTAACAGGCATTGAAGCCATTTCCGTCAAGGGCATCCTTGAACTACTTCTGGATTGCTTGCCGTGAACCTAGACAACACCTAGGCTGATAGGAACTCCATCTAGGCCAGGAACTCTGCTGTCAGCTCCTCCCACAGCCTGCTGGAGAGCTCCTTGGCTGACAGAGTCCCCCCTTACATCTTCTCTCAGGGTCCAACAGCTGCACTGGATTTTTGTTTGTTTGCTTGTTTTGGAGTTTGTTTTTTTCCTTTTGTTGTTTCATTGTTTTTGTTTTTTTATTCTTTTTCATCTCTTTCCATTCTCTTAAATTTTATCCTTTGTTTTTCTTCTGTTTCTCATTTCCTCTCTTTTGATCTTCACTACTCTCTTTCTCTTTTCATCATTCCTCTGCCTGGGTTTTCTAAGCTTTTTTTCCTTTTAATTTCTTCCTCTTATTTTTCTCTTCTATAGCTCAATTTTCCTGCCCCTCTTTTCTCTTTTTAGTTTATTATACCTTTTTTTTTTTTTTTGGTTGCGCTTATTTGTTTATCCTGTTTTGTTTCTTGGTGTGTGTATGTATTGGGGCATGGGGCTGGAGTCTCTTCTTTCCCACTTGACAGCAGATAGCATACAACCCAGCCACAACCGTACCCTTTGCAACTCCACCCACTGGGCAAGAGACAATCCCAGCTCCTGTACCACCTGATCAATGATAGACAGCAGCCAACACCAGCCAAGTCCACCCTAAACTAAGGCACACTAACAGCAAATGGAGAACAACGCACTCACTCCCATTCTGTGTACACTACAGGAGATAGTGATGAGGGCCCAAGAACACATTAATATACAGTCATCAGTTAAGCACAAATACGAAAACACCGGTGTCCCAGAGACAACAGACAGTTTAGCTTACACAAAGAAACAAGAGAGAATGGCACAAACAAATGACCAAGATTCAGAGCCAGAAAATGTTTCTGATGAAGAAAAGGTAATGGAACTAACTGAAAAAGAATTCAGAAGAATGATCTTTGGGTACCTTCAAAGGATTACCAGAAAGATCAAGGAAAGCAACGATAACACACACACACACAAATAACCTTGAAGAATTCAAGAAAACACTGTAAGAGCAAACAGACAAAATAAATGCAACTTTGAAAAATATAAAATCTGCAGTTAGAAATCCAGAAGATTCATATTAAGATTTCAGAAATGGACAATACATTGAAACTGCAAAGGAGTAAATTCAAAGCAATGGAAGCCTCAACTAGTGATCTTGAAGATAAATCACAATCAGAAAAAAATGCAAGAAATCCAAAGCAAGTCATAAGAGTTATGTGGGATACCATGACGAGGAGCAACTTACGGTGATCGGAATTCCAGAATAGGAGGAGACAATAGAAAGCAGAGACAAAATTGTCAGACAGTTGTTAGAAGAAAATGCTAACATCATGAAAGACCAGAAGGTAAGCATACAAAAAGCTGAACAAACCCCAAACAGGATAGATCTCAAAAGAAAATCACCACGATATATCATAATCAAACTGTCCAAAACCAAAGAAAGACACGGAAAGAATCTTGAGAGCAGTTCTGGAAAAATGAAAAGTTACCTAAAAGAGGAGAGAACCAATCAAGACTAAGCTTTGATTTCTCAGCAGAAACCATGCAGGCGAGAAGGCAGTGAGTGGGATGGCATACACAAAACTCTTAAAGAAAGAAATTGCCAACCAAGAATTGTATACCCAGCAAAGCTCTCCCTCAAATATAATGGCGAAATTAGGACATTTCCTAATATACAGATATTAAATGAATCTGTAATAACAAGACCAAGTTTACAAAAAATACTAAAGGATGTTCTTTGGACTGAAAACCAACAACAACCTGAGATTAACACATATAACACCACCACCCAGAACTCAGTCCAGTATGGTGGTGGTGGTTGTATGCCAGCAAGTTGGTTCTGACTCACAATGACCCTCTATAGGGTTTCTGAGGCCATAAATCTATATGGGAGCAGGAAGCCTCATCTTTCTCCAGATTCTGGCAGATTCGAACTACTGACCTTGTAGTTAGGAGCTCAGTTCGTAATCCACTACCGTACTAGGCTGTTTAAGGAGCTCTGGTAGCATAGCCAGCAGTTCAAAACTACCGGCGGTTCCGTGGGAGAAAGATGAGGCTTTCTGCTCCTGTAAAAATTTAGTCTTGGAAATCTTATACGGGGTTGCTGTGAGTAAGAACTGACTCCATGACACATAACCACCACCACCACCACCACCACCAGGGCTATTTAGAGTAAAACAAACCTACAGGACTGAATACAGGGAACCAGAGAACAGTTTATAATGAAGTCAGCTGCAGAGCAGCAAGAGGGAATAGTGTAGATACAGAACTTCTAAATGGCGAGTAAATCAAGAAGATTTCTTGATAAAACAGTATTTAGCTCTGTTTACTTAATAAGCTGTAATTTTATTCTTCAGTTTGCATGTCTTTGTATGAGTTTGAAAATAAAATTTGATTCTTTTAAAAAAAAAATATTGATGGAAGCAGATAGCATCATCTTTGTCCCATGGAAAGGTTGGTGGCTTTGTACCGTAGGACTTAACAGTTAACAGCCTTTTGCGTAACCCACTGTACCACCAGAACTCCTTTTAGGCATGAAGTCTTGGTGTGGTGCTGTAGAATAGATGCTGAACTGCTACCCACAGGTTGGTGGTTCAAACCCCAGTAGGAGCACTATGAGTTGATTTGTGTGTGTGTGTACACATACATATATGTGTGGTTATGCACATGCATATGTGGGAACTTCAAAAGTTGATGGGGGAAAATGAAATCAAAAGATAAAGGAGTTTTTCCATGAACTTTTTGAAGCCCCCTTGTTATTGCTAAGTGCCATCGAGTTCGTTTCAACTTTGGGACTCTGTGCAGAACAGAGGGAAGCACTGCCCAGTCCTGGGCCATCCTCACAATTACTGTTGCCCGTGAGCCCATTACTGCTGCCACTGTGCCAATACATCTCGTTGGGCTCTTCCTCTTTTTCTTGGAGCCTCTACTTTGCCAAGCATGATGTCCTTCTCCAGGAAGTGGCCCCTCCTGATCCCATGTCTGAAGTTGATGTTGGGTGCTGCCCAGTCAGCCTCAATGTACACTGACCTTGTGTATAACAGATCCGAAGTCTGCCCGGCCCTGTGCACTCCCTGATTGCTGCTGTGTTTGTTCACCATTCCAGCTCTGTCTCCCCTGACCCTTCACATCACCAACTACCATGGCCTTTCCGAGAGGTTGCTCTTTCCAAAGTGAGCAAGCTTAAGTCTCACCCCCTCACTTGTGAGGAGATTTCTGGTTGCTTTTCTTCTGTATTGTTATATATAGAGAGAGTGAGGAGTGTTCTGGTTGCATTTCTTCTGTGTTATTATATATATAGAGAGAGGCATGAAAATGAATGAGTTAGGTAAAAGGCAATACACAGATTGCTAGAGCCGTGTACTGTTTGCCATGAGCTGCGTGGTACAGGAGTGCATTCTCTCTCTTTAGAACAAGGCAGAGCTCCCGCTGCGCCACTTGCAGCCCTGGTTTCCTCAGCAGAACTAACCACTGTTGAGAAGGGTGGCATGCCTTTGCCTCAGAGGAGCACATTCTCTGACTGGTGGCTTTGTCCATAGTCCCAAGTCCCCTTTCTCTATAGTCTGGCCTGTGAAGAAGGCAGTCCTGTCTTACCCTGCCAGTTGTGGACCAGTCATGCAAGCCCAGGTCTGTCTGTATCCAAGGCCTGTGACTTAGCAGCCGGCCATACCTGGGCTTTGGAAACAGGGCTGTCTCAAGTCACTCTTAAAGGCAGTACACTAGAGGGGAGGATGGAGGCGGGGAGTGGTGTGAGGGAAACTTGTTCTATGCTGGGCTCCTGGGATTTGGGAAGATGTCCATTTGAATTTTGTACCAAAATAATTTTTTCTCATGGCACAAGAAGTATAATTTTTTCCTGATTCATGTATTAGTGAGAGAACTTGCCTGCAACCATTCACTCATCACGGAGACATGTTTAAGCACATATGTTTGGCATAAACCTGTGCATGTCTGAACTAGAATCTTGCTAGCAGTGTTTGCAACTTACCCTGTATTTTTATTTAACATTTAAAAACACATATAAATAACAGTTTTAAACTGTCCTTTTCCTATATACCTATGGGCTGCATCTTAAGGTTGCCTTGATTTAAATGGTTGCTTATCACTGTCTCATATTGTCTATTATTGAGATAATAAAGTAAAGGTTACTCAGGCACTTGGGTGTGTAGCTGTGTGTCTGGGAAGCTGCTGTCTTCTGTGCAGACACTGCTAGCTTGGTTTGAGATTGCGTTGTCGCGTGTAAGCTCCGTGTCCTAATGAAGACATCCCCTCAGATCTCAGTCTTGTTGCAAAATCTCTCAGGCTGTGGGAGAGGTGCTTGTGCCCACGGCCATGCCACCGCACCGTCCTCTCTGTAGATTCCCGCACACTTCTGCTCAGTGGGCTGTGGCTGCAGAGCCTTGCCCAAGAGAGCGTGTCAAGAGCCCCCAGCACTCTGCGTCATCCGTGTGTCTAAGTGACCCAGCAATCAGTTCGCCCTGAAGAGCAGCTGTAGACGAGCACAAGGAGCAGTAACACGTAGTGCGGGAGAGCACACCCGTTTTCATGTGACACTTTAAATTCTGTTCCAAGAAGTTAGCATTCACGTGTGCATACTTATTATTGATTTCTTCATCATCGTGGTTCATATTTATTGAGTGCTTAGTCGGTGGCAGGCACATTACCTGTATTATTTCATTATCTCATTTATTGGATGTGATGTGTCTAATGTCTGTATTATTGTCTGCTGCTGACGCGGTGCCACTCCCATCTTGTCGGGCTCTTCTTCTCTGAGCCTTCACTCTGCCAAGCATGATGTCCTTCTCCAGGAGACATGCTGTTGTTAAGTGCTGTTGAGTTCGCTCTGACTCATAATGACCCTGCGTTGGGTTTCTGAAGAGCAACTGGTGAGTTTGAACTGCTGACCCTGCATTTCAGACCGACCTTGCGGTCCACTGTGTTATCCTGCTCCGGTGTGTCCAATGTGGTTGTTGTTATGTGCCGTGGAAGTGTGTCTAATAGTGAGCTTTATTTTTGTTACTTCTGCCTGTTGTGTGCTGCTAACCGTATAAGGCACAGTAACACTATGTGGTTGTCTAGCTGTAATTGGAGGCTTGGTGGGGCTGTAGGATAAGCATAGGCTGAAGCCCACTAGCCACTTCCTGAAAACCCTATCTATTTAGGGTTTTTACCAAAAGCAATCTTTCCAGGAGCCGATTGCCAGCCAAGTCTTTTGTCCAGAGGAGTGGCTAGGTGAATTTAAAGCTTAGTGCTTATCTGTTGAGTCACCATGGCTGACTTCTGCCCACCACACTGGTTTCAGAGATGGACCCAAGTGGGGCTGGGAAGGCATGACACGTAAAGACAGGGAAGTGTGTACGACTTAGGGGGGTAGGGAGTCTGCCCTGAAAATTTACCCGAGCTTTGGACCACGGCTACGCTTCTGGTAAGAGAACTATTCGCGTGAAATTACACCTGCTGTGGGCCTGACCTGGGCTCACATGCGTTTATTCTTCACTTATTGACTTAGCTAGAGAATGTACATTTCCCAGACAGCATCGTAAATTGATTTACCTCATTCAAGACTTTTTATATGAAATCTGCCATTGCATTTGCATATTAATCTACTTTGTATGTCCTTCTTAGTGCTCCCAGGAAGACATTGCTGATAAACTTGGTGTGGCTATCTCCGCAACCAAAGCAGTCCACATAAGTAACCCTAAAACAGCTGAATTTCAGGTAAGACTTTTAACTAGATGAGATTTTAGGTTAAAACCAAGAGACTATGCAGTATGAAAATATGAAAAGGCTCTTCAGTTATTATACTTTAAGTGACAAAATCTTACGAGCTTCTTTATAATCTCTTCTTGGGTTATCTTTATAGTAGCTCTTACACGCTTTCTTGGCAAAACTTCCTGAAAACCTTGTTATGATGTTTGAGTCTGTGTTAGTGTGGGTTCTTTCTTGACTTGTGCTATAAGCTTAAACACTGCGAAGAATGGGTGTTCCAGAACACGTAATTGTGCTCATGAGGAACCTGGACAAAGCCAAGAGGCAGTTATTTCAACAAAACAAGGAGACACTGAGTGGTTTAAAATCAGGAACAGTGTGCGCCAGGGTTGTATGTTTCACCATACTTATTCAATCTGTACACTGAACAAATAATCTGAGAAACTGGGATTATATAAAGAAAAACGTGGCATCAGGATTGGAGGAAGATTCATAACAACCTGCAATATGCAAATGATACAACCTTGCTTACTGAAAGCAAAGAGAACTGAAAATACTTACTGGTGAAGGTCATAGATCACAGCTTTGAGTATAGGTTGCACCTCAGTGTAAAGAAAGCCAAGAAATGACATCATGATAAGTGGAAAAAAGATTGAAGTTGTCAAAGACTTCATTTAGCTGGGTCCACTATCAACACTATGGAAGCAGCAATTAAGAAATCAAATGATGTTTTGTATTAAGCAAATCTGCAGCACAAGACCTCTTTAAAGGACTCAAGAGCAAAGGTACCAGTTTGAGGACTAAAGTGCACTTGACCCAAGCCATGGTATTTTCAATGGCCTCATATGCATGTCTACCACTTGGTCAGTTTGTTGTACCGTGGTGACTTGTGTGTTGCTGTGGTTCTGGAAGTTATGCGATGGGTATTTTAAATACCAGCAGGGTCACCCACGATGGACAGGTTTTACCTGAGCTTCCAGATGAACTTCCAGATAAACTAGGAAGGAGAAGGGATAGACTGCTTCAGAATATTTGGTCACTGAAAATCTTATGAATAGCAGTGGAGTCGATGTGTATTGATAAATACTGGCGATTGGAATACAAAGGTTGAAATTTGGTAATTTTCTAATTTGTTGGCAGTTTTATTTGTGCAGAGTTGTTATTGTCAAGTGCCACAAAGTCGGTTCTTACTCATAGTGACCCTGTATAGTAGCGTAGTGGTTACGAATCGGGCTGTGAACTGCAAGGTCAGTGGTTCGAAACTACCAGCTGTTCCACGGGAGACAGATGAGGCTTTCTGCTCCCGTAAAGATTTACAGTCTCGGAAACCCTGTACAGGGTCCAGGGTCGCTATGAGTCAGAACCGACTCCACGGCACATAACAACAACTAATAGCGTTTGCAAGGAGCATCTTGGTGGGCTTGAACTGCTAACATTGCAGTTAGTAGTCTAGTGCTTAACCCTACAGTGCCACATTAGCAGTCCATCTTTGTTGTTGTTGTTGTTACGTGCCGTTGAGTCGGTTCCAACCCATAGCGACCCTCTACAGGGTTTCCGAGGGTGTAAATCTTTACAGGAGTAGAAAGCCTCATCTTTCTCCCGCGGAGCGGCTGGTAGTTTTGAACCTCTGACCTTAAGGTTCGCAGCCCGATTCGTAACCACTACGCTACCAGAGCTGAGTTTATGAAAATGTTAATGTTAAATATACTGAATCTAGTAAATGTATTAAACTACCTACTAATGTGGTGTTGGAGTCCTGGTGTGGTGCTGTGGGTTAATGCACCAGACTGCAAAGCCATTTGAACTGCAAGGTTGGTGGTTCAATCAAGCTCACCAGCTGCTCCTCGGAAACCCTATATAGGATCGCTATGGATCGTCACCGACTGGAGAAGTGCCATTGAGTTGGTGCTGACCCATAGTGACCCTGTATAGGGTTTCCGAGGAGCAGCTGGTGAGCTTGAATCGCCGACCTCGCAGTTCAAACCAGTTTTGCAGTCTGGCACATTAATGTACAGTGACACACCAGGCAGATTAGAGCTGTACTAGCCCTGGTGTGGCACTATGGCTAATGCGCTGGACTGCAAAGTTGTTTGAACCACAAGGTTAGTGGTTCAAGCTCTCCACCTGCCCCTTGGAAACCCTATACACGGTTACTATGGGTCAGAACTGACTCGATGGCACTAACAATAACAAATAGTTGGGGTCCTGGTCTGGTGCTTTATAGGATAAGCACTGGACTGCTTACTGCAAGATCGGTTGTTCAAATGCACTTAACTGCTTCTCTGAAACCCTATGCTTTGAGTAGGAACCGACTCGACAGCACTTAACAACTATCAGACAGTTGGTAACAGTAAGCATCAAGTCTATGAGTTCTTTCGCTGCATTCAGTTTCAAACTTTGAAGAATCCTTTAACCGTTGCTGTTCTTGTTAAATGCCATCAAGTTAGTTCCGACTCATAGCAACCCTGTATACGGTTTCCAAGGAGAACTGATGGGCTTGAACCACCAACCTTATGGTTAGCAGTTCATTGCTTATTTCACAGCACACACCAGGAGTCCTAACAACAACAATTTTTCCATTGCTTTTAAAAGGTGTTCATTATGATCTTCTTTAAAAAACAAATGTTGAATTCATTTAGGTAGAGTGATTTTTAGCAACTCTTAATTGGCTTATTTAAGGGAGCTCTGGTAGCGTAGTGGTTACGAATCGGGCTGCGAACCGTAAGGTCAGCAGTTCGAAACTACCAGCCGCTTCGCGCGGGAGAAAGATGAGGCTTTCTACTTCCGTGAAGATTTACACCCTTGGAAACCCTGTACAGGGTCGCTATGGGTTGGAACCGACTCGATGGCACTTCACAACAACAACAACAACAATTGGCTTATTTACATTTTTATCCAAATTCCCCCCCCCCCCCATTTTATAAATTAGCTTGATAGGGTTCTCAAGATGTGGTAACTTTTACATCCTTTACCACTCTAAAAACAGTGATCTGTTTTATATTAGGAGGAGGAAAACAAATCCATTAAATAGCATTATAAATAGTTGTGTCTGCATACTTTTAAGAACCAATACTTCTCCATCAAATCTATTAGTGTGAAAAAAATTCTGTCTTTTAGACTTGACAGATTGTTTTACAACAGATGTAGCCTATACCATTATTAATGTAGCTAACGGATTCATACTTACTTATGGGTAAATTGAATGAACTAAATTTACTTATGGTTAAAATGAATGTTTGGAAGACAACCATCAGACCAACTGACTGGAAGAGATCCGCAACTGTGCCCATTTCAAAGAGAGGTGACCCAAAATGCAGAAATCATCAGACAGTATCATTGCTATCCCATGAAAGTAAAGTTTTACTAAAGGTAATACAAAAACAGCTGCAAGCATACATTGACAGAGAGCTTCCAGAGGTTCAAGCCAGATTCAGAAGAGGATGTGGAATGAGGGATGTCATTGCTACTGTCCGATGATGGATCTTGGCTGAAGGCAGAGGATACTGGAAAGGTGTTTACCTGTGCTTTATTGACTACACGAAGCTTTTTGAGTGTGTGGATCATGACAGGCTATGAACAACATTGCAAAGTATGAATATTCCAGAACACTTAATTGTACTCATGAGGAACCTGTACGTAGTCCAAGAGACAGTTGTTTGAACAGAACAAGGGAACACCGAATGGTTTAAAATTAGGAAAGGAGTGCTCTAGGGTTGTATTCTTTTACTATACTTACTCAACCTGTATGGTGAGCAGATAATCCAAGAAGCTGGGTTATATGAAGAAAAATGTGGCAGCAGGATTGGAGCAAGACTCATTAACAACCTGTGATATGCAGCTGATACAACCTTACTTGCTGAAAGTGAAGAGGACTTAAAATACTTACTGATGAAGATCAAAGAGCACAGCCTTCGGTATCAGTTGCACCTCAATGTAAAGAAAACAAATCTCTTCACCACTGGGCCAGTAAACAACATCCTTATAAATATGGAGAAAAGATTGAAGTCAAAGACTTCATTTTTCTTGGATCAACCATCAACACTCATGAAAGAAGCAGTCAAGAAATCAAATGACATATTTGCATTAGGCAAATCTGCTGCACAAGACATTTTTAAAGTGTTGAAGAGCAAAGATGTCAGTTTGAGGACTAAGGCATGATATTTTCAATAACCTCATATGTATGTGAAAGTTGTATAGTGAATAAGAAAGACTGTAGAAGAATTGACGCATTGAGTTATGGTGTTGAAGGAGAATATTGAAAGTACCATGGGCTGCCAAAAGAACCAATAGATGCGTTTTGGAAGAAGTGCTGCCAGAGTGCTCCTGGAAAGCCAAGATGGCCAAACTTCGTCTCTCATACTTCGGACTTATTGACAGGAGGGACCAGTCACTGGAGAAGGATATCGTGTTTGGTAAGGTGGAAGGTCAGAGAAAAAGAGGAAGACCCCCAGTGAGATGGATTGGCAAAGTGGCAGCAGCAATGGACTCAAGCATAGCAACAATTGTGAGGTTGGCCCAGGACTGGGCAGTGTTTTGTTCTGCTGTGCATAGGGTTGCAATGAGTCAGTACCAACTCTCTGGCACCTAACAGCAACAACAATGTCCAATCTATTCAAAGAACCCCAATCGGACAGTTTTTCCAATTATAGAAACCTGCCCCTTGAGAAGTACAGTAAGATGATTTTACATGGCATCCACAATTGTTGAATTAAAATTCCACCTAAGAAAGTTTAACAAGTGCCATCGAGTAGATTCCGACCCATTGTTGGGGGAGTGGGGGAATGACCTCCCTTCTCCACTGTGTTCAGTAGAGGGGCTCATGGTTCTTCAGCTACTCCAAACTGGGACCCTGGGCACTGGCGTGGTTTGGGTATGTTCCCATTGTCTCAGGGGCACTGGGTGGTTATAGGGTGTGCTCTGATTGATCATGCTGGTGTCCTTGTAGGGGCAGAATTATAGCATGTTCACTATTTTTGATCAAATTTCTGATTTTTTCATTTGTAAGTTTAGAAATCAGAATCTTTTCAGTTATTTCAGTGTCCTAGAACTGAAAAATTAAAAAGGACTTGAAGCATTGCATTTTCCAAAAGTGAAGATACTTTGGGCTTAGTGTTTGCTCAGTGTTATCTGTTTGGTTCCTATTTGGTCAGTGCAGTTTCACCTTCTCTCCTGCAGGTGGCACGCACTACCCTTCTTCCTGGCCTCCTAAAGACCATAGCAGCGAATCGGAAGATGCCCCTTCCTCTGAAATTGTTTGAAATATCTGACATCGTAGTAAAAGATGCTAGCAGAGGTAAGAATGACTGACCTTTGGTTTATATGTATAGCATTGTTTTCATCTTGAAAAATTTCAAATAGATATACAAATAGAGAAAACCCTATAATTACCTCTATGAGTCCAATCCCCAGCTTCACTAACTGTCGGGACATGGCCTGCTTTCTGCACCCATACCCTTCCCTCCCCATGTCACTTTACTGGAAATTTCCAGACATTATATCATTTCATCATTCAATACTTCGGTATGTATTTATGGAAGATAAGCACCACCATGTTTTGTTTTGTTTTTACTGCTTTGGGCTATTTGTATGGAGCTGTAGAATACACACTTGACTGCAAGGTTGGTTTGAACCACAAGGTTGGCAGTTCAAACTCACCATTTGTTCCTTGGAAACTGTATACAGGGTCGTTATGGGTCAGAACTGATGTGACGGCACTTAACTACAACAGTAATGACTATGTTGTTGTTTGTTGTTAAGTGCTGTCAAGTTGATTCTGACCCATAGCAACCCTGTGTAAGGTTTCTGAGGAGTAATTGGTGAGCTTGAACTGCAAGAGTGCCATCAAATCAGTTCCTACTCATAGCAACACTGTTTGGGATTTCCGAGGAGCAACTGATGGGTTTGAACCACTGACCTTGAGGTTAGCAGTCCAGTGCTTATCCTATAGTGCTGCACTAGAACTAACACTAGCTATGGTGTTATGATGTTATGGTGTGATCTACCTAACACCATATCACACCATAATATCTCCATACACCTAGCTAATAATTCACATTTTCACAGCTGCATACATTCGTTTTTATTATAGATTTATTTGAGTCAGAATCCAAGCAAGGTCTGGATGTTTACTGTTATGTCTTTGATCTCTTTTCATGTAAAGTGAATTTTTTCAAAGAATCTAATAATATATAAAAATAGCCCTATTGAGGCCTCAACTTGAAAAGCACTATGGGAGTTTTCTCTATTCTTTTGTCACGTGATGTTAAGGCACTTCATTTTAACATATTGGTTATCAAGTCATTTTACTTTATTGTGACTACTCACAATCTCGGCTGCATCAGCCCCTGTCCCTTTTGAGCACAGTCTGGACTTACTAGTCCTGGAAGTAGCTTGGTTCAGCATTTGGGTGGTGGTGGTTGTCTGAGACATCTATTGTATACTTAGTAAATATCGCAGTCTCGTTGTCAGAGAGGCCTATTCCATTCAGACGCCCTTGTGTGCCAGCCTCTGATTGCTCCACACTGTGTCTGGTGACCCTTGGTGAGCAGGCTGACAGTGTTTCTTGGGTCCCCTGGCTGTCCAAGTCCTAGCATTGTTTATGCTGCAAATCTCCTTCAGATCTCTGTAGGCTTCCCTGAAAAGATGGCACGTGCAGAGGCCTTTTCCTGTGGTTCCACCTGAAGAAGATACTATGGCATCCTTCCTAAAACTAGTCAGGATGATTGGCTATGAATTGCCTCATCTTAGGGAATATTCTAGAGGAATGAGCAACCGGACCCCATGTGAACTGCCCATCGCAACTTGCCAGCCCAGGCTGGGCTCTGCACTCGCAGCATTAGCCCATCGTCCATTAAAACTACCACCTAGCTTTTGGTTAGTGCTTTTTACTTTAAAAAAAAAAAATTTTTTTAAACATATTTTTTATATTTTTATCATTAAACTATTTCTTGAGTCAATTGGGACAAAACTCTATCCTCGTTTAAGCATAAAGAAAAATGGAGCTGGAAAGGTGCTTTGCGTCAGCTCACGAACGCTTTTGGACTTCGTGCCAGAGCTCAACTTTGGGTCTCAGTGCATGTGTCCTTCAAGAGTAGAAGTTCATTTTAATAGCAGTCAGTAGAATGATCATTTTTTATTGTGAGGAAGTGGAGTAAATCTGTAGCAGAAGGCAGAAAACATTTTCCTCATCAGTTGCAATTAGTTTGAGAGTTCTTGGACCTCAAGTCCTCCCTTGGTGCAGGTAACTTTGAATCTTTATAATTCCAATGTTAAATTTTTTTGTTAACTTCAACCTGTTTTCTTTCATTGTAGTTCTCTGATTTTTTATGCTGTTTTGATCCTTGGCTCTATCCATGCATATTTATACATACAGGATTAGGCTAATTGGACTAGATTTCCTCAAAAGTTTTGTAATGCTGTAATGCTTTTCAGGAATAATCCCCTTCTCTAATTGCAAGATCTCCCGACAGGACTATGCAGATTAGTGGCCTGGGTGTGTTTACAAACAGGCAGTTCAGAGTCTGGGAAGGTGAGGGTGGGGAACAAGCTGGGGTCCCAGCATTTACAACAAGGAAGGTTGCTTTGTACAGATGAGCACTTCACTGTGTGCTGGGTGGAGGTGGTATTTGCTGGGAAGGCATAGACTTGATTCTGCTGCTTTTTCTGGTCTCAAGGCTCATGTTGGAGGTGACTTTTTTAGTTACAGAGCTGTGTCTGAGTGTCAGACACTACAGCAAATCAAACTACTATCATGACTCAATTGAGATTCACAGCCACCCTATCAGACAGAGCAGAACTGCTTATGGTCTCCAGGCTGTAAGGATTTAAGGGAGCAGACAGACTCTTCTTCCTCCCACTGAGCTGCTGGAGGGTTTGAATTGCGGATCTTTCAGTTAGCATCTCCCTGCTTCTTTTAACACATCACCCTGGTGTTCTCTCAGAAACCCAGTTCGTATACTTGTAAGTTAAAGATTTCATTTCGCTGTATTTTGTTTCATCAGAAAGAGTGTATTATGCTTAGAGAGCAGACTTCTGTTATACTTGTTTGTAGTTTAATTATTTTGCTGTTTTCCCATTGATTCAATTCTGCATATTACGTTCACCTCTTCCCTTCTTTAACATGTTCTAGCACCTATCAGTGGGATTTGAGGATGGAGGTCAGTAAATATGGAAACAGAAGTTGGCATTGCTTTATTTGGAGTACATTTTGTGTGTCATAACAAAAGGAGCTTCTCTGAGGTTTACCCATGTGAATTCCCGACCTGTCTTCTGGTGTACAGAGGACACTAGACAGAGGCAGCAAAGCATTGTGGTTCCAGAGAGACTCTGGAGCCCGAGGCTCGTGTGAGTCACAGCGCTGCCACTAGCCACTGGCGCTTAACTTTGGGTACGTTATGTAATCTCTCAGTCACTCAGTTCTTGCATCCGTTAGATTTGTTGTAAGGATTAAATGACATTGCCTTTTGAAAAGTTTGGTCCCTGTGCTCTTAGAGGAGGAAGCCAGAAAATATTGCTACAAAAATCATACAAACCTTAAACAAAAATAGCAAATGTGAAGCTGTTAATGTCTCAACACATTCTCCTTCTAGGTCTGTCCACTTCTAAAGGTGGGGTTCTTCCCCCCAAATTTTGTGCTCTTTGATTTACCCCACACCAAATTGGCAGTTTTGGTATCCTCGGGGAACTCAAATTGTGTTCCTTTTTTGGTGGGGGGTTCTGAAGGGGCAAGACCAGGGCTGTAGGGTGGATGGGGTAAGATTTCTCACTGAAATTCTGATACTCTCGAAGAACAAGTAGATGCTTTATCATGATGGAAAAAAATTCGTCTGCACAAATTTCCAGGTCTTTTTTTCCAGACATTTCTCAATTTTCTGGAAACGTCTTCCTTGATAAGCCCTTATGATCATCCTGTGTCCTTCAGGAAAATCACCTTGAGAGCTAACTTCTCGACCTTGAGTTTAAATAGCCTAGCAGATCCCCCCGGAAGCTACTGTTTGTATTGGACCTTTTGTTTTGTTTTCTGAAGGCACCCTATGAAACTAAGACAGGTGTATTATGAGAGAACTTGTCTACAGCCATCCACTGATCTCAGAATATTTGAACACATTTTGTTGAGATAAACGCATGCACGTGTGAGCTGTAACCCTGGTAGCAATAGTACACTGACATTAAAATATTACCAAATTCTCCGTCCATATACCTAGCATCCCCATTAAAGGGTTAATATTACTCTGTTAAGATCCGAGGGACCAGTCTCTGGAGAAGGATATCATGTTTGGTAAGGTGGAGGACCAGAGAAAAAGAGGAAGACCCCCAGCGAGATGGATTGGTAAAGTGGCAGCATCGATGGACTCAAGCGTGGCAATAATTGTGAGGTTGGCTCAGGATCGGGCAGTGCTTCGTTCTGCTGGGCATCAGGTCGCTATGGGTCGGTACCAACTCGATGGCGCCTAACAACAACAATAAATATCCTTGAGACTGCTGCTTATCCTGACCGTTGGCTAACTGGGTTTTCTTCTTCTGCACTTTTGTTTTATTTTAGGATGAGAGAAACAAGAAGTCCTAACATAGGAAATTAATAACAGAAATGCTGTTCTTGAAGTGATTCATCACTGAATTCTTTTCAGTGAATGGACCGTGTGTGTTTTTATTGTTTCTCAAAGCAGTAGCCATCTCTCTGTTGGATTTGTATTAGCTGTAGCCTCCCAGAAGGAAACCTGGTAGTGTAGTGAGTCAGCAGTTCAAATCCAGCAGTCTCTCTATGGGAGAAAGATGAGGCCTTCTGTCCCCATAAAATTTTACAGCTTTGGAAACCCTGTACAGGGCTGCTACTGAGTCAGAACCGACGCGACACCATACAGCTATCACCAGCCATAGCCTCCCAAATAAGGAGGGTTTTTTTGTTTTATAAGAAAGAAGAGTGAGACAATCAAGAATGAAATGATAAAGTGTTCCAGTTAGTTTGGAAAATTCTCAACTCTTCATTCGTTGTTGCTGTTAAGTGCTGTTGAGTCAATGCCAACTCATAACGCTCTGTATAGGTTTTCCAAGGAGCGGCTAGTGGGCTCGAACTGCCAACTTTGTGGTTCAGAGTCCTGTGCTGATCTTACATTGCCACACCAGGAGTCCAAATCTTTATTTGTTGTTGTGAAGTGCCATCGAGTCGTTTCCAACCAATAGCTACTCTACATAGGATTTCCGAGGAGCAGCTGGTGAGCCTGAACCACCGACCTTGCTTTTCAAATGGCTTTGCAGTGTGGTGCATTAACCCACAGTGCCACACCAGGACTCCAA